ACCATTGAAAATCTGAAAACACCAGACAATTGTTTCATACTAGAACGGGATTCCTCAACGGTGCACACACACAACCCCAACAGGGAACGACGCTAGGCACTCCAGGTTTCACAACAGAATGTTGCCACTGAGTCAGTGAGTTGAAATCCGATGGTCCACATTTTCTTACTTGCGTTAGTTCGTAATATATCGCGAGCTCCATTGAATACCGTCGTCGAGTACCTATCCTCACGTCCGACCTGGTTTTCCCCGCAGGTTAAGGTTACTCACTAAGACCTTAAGAAATTCATTCTGAAGGCAAGTCACTAATCAGCACTGGATAGTGATTCACTTCCAGTGCTTCATCGTTTTCAATAGTTCCCCGGCTAGTATCTGTCCATGAGGATCAATACCAACTTCAAATCAATTAATAAATTGCAACTATCCTCATTTACAGGATATTTAGATTGTGTGTGGTCAGAATGAAACACTCCTATCTATGAACTCAAATTGGTCTACTCATGCCGTTAATGAATTCTTCAGTTCTGTACACAATGCATTTTCGGGTTATTTGAAGCTTTTGCCAGAATTTTTCTGATTTTAGACGTTAGGTTTTTTTTAATACCTATAATTAATTAGATAATTTAGTCATTTGACTTGCGCATCATTAACTCTTTCCTTTAGATTCGAAAATCGTTTACTACACTGCTTATTTTAAAAAGATCTCAGTGTGATATAAGTTTGGAGGTGAACATACTGAAAAAGTAAATTAGCGTTCCTTTCCTACATCTTCAAATATGGTAAGCATACTTCTGCTGGTTTCCGGTGTGCTAGTGAAACATTTAAGTGTGAATTTCATTAGCCTATGTGACTGCCCAACAATGAATTATCACTTGTTCACTTTTTTCTAATATATATTATCGTCTACTACTTACTGCTCATAAGTAGTAATTCGTTTGGTTTATCCCTTGAAGCATGGGAATAGAATAGATGGAAATTTTATGAACATTAGTATGCTTATTGGGCAGGAAGGAATTTATTTAATTTTATGGCACATTATTATTATTATTATTCTGGAATGAAATAAGTCTCGAAATAGCATTTGCTTGCTTACTTTACTCAAACATAGCATATGTTGTTGTCCCATCACAAACGATGTTTTGCGCAGTCTATGTCCGTGCATGCTCATGTATGTGTGCATGCACAAATGTGTTCATATAATTTTTAGCAATGTACTTGTTACAGAAGCGAGTAGGGAGGGAGGGAGAGTTGAGTATCTATTATTTTCATCATAAGAAGGAGTAGAATGATAGAATGTATAACTGTTCATTGATTAGTATTATTATTCTTGTCTTCAAGTTTATTTTTTCACAATATTCACTCCAACACCACCACCTCCTCGCTCATTCACGTTAACATAGGCTATCATGACCATAAGTCGAATAAAATCATAATTTGTACCTTAGGTCAAAATAATAACACCACCCACTGCCTTAAATATATGAAGGCCATTCTTCTGTTTACTTACTCGTACTGATAAGCCGAGCAAACAGAATAATGACAGCGGTCACAAATCTTTCCATGTCATTTATATACATGTATATGCATACATGCATGCGTGTGGCTGGATAACCTCGCGCTCTCTCTTTCGCCGAGTTTCTCTCTCCCTCATTTGTCTCTGTTTGCCATTTGCTAACTCCATTTATGTATTTCATCTCCACATGTAGTCAAGCTAGTTAGTTAGCTGGCTAACCAGGTGAGTAGGTAAACGAAAAACCTATGGGGAAAAAAAGGAACAGTCAGTCAAATAAACAGATGAACAGGGTGCTCAACATAATAAAAATTAGTAATTTTTTTGCAGTTCGATCTGCAGAAAAGGCGTATTTATGCTGATATTTAGTTTACTTTTTTCATATACCAAAACAAGGGTTTTAAAATTCATGTATATATATATATATATATATATATATATATATATATATATATATATATATATATATACATTGCTGCAATAACTATTGTTAGTCGGTGTGAATGGATGCCTATTTGTACAATATTTGATTGAACAGATATGTTATGTGGGCGTGTCTAGTTTGTGCTAACAATGACCAGTTTCTCGTTCAAATACAACAGAAACCTGGTAAATTTAGCAGAATGGATTTTCTCTATGAGTTTTAGAATATAACACTATATACGTATGTTCATCTGGTGGTTCGCTTACATTTTAGACATGATGGATAGACAGTAAGTTCGTATAAATTTATATTCTATTGGAAAGGATTATTTAGAAATATTTCTATTGAGCCGGTTATGCAACTCGGTGATTCAGTAACTTCGAGTAATTTACTGACTGTCTTTATCATGAACGGACATCAGCTGATGAACCACTAGACGTTATATAATAGAAGACCGTTATGTAATGTCGCTGATGACACCGGGAGACTGCTACAATGTACTATGAGTTTCCGACTTCAAAGTCAACTGATAAAAAGAAAAGTCCACGGACAAGACCAGATGACTTCTTGTTTATCCTTTCCAGTGAATAAGTATGGACATGATTAAGGATACTAAACCACGATGAAACAGCTGCCCGCTTGGCAGTAATCAGTCATATGACATGAAATAGTGATCAGAACTACACTGACACTCAACGATGAGATATGTTTCATTTGGCTTTCTGTTCGATATGCCACTGATATGAATGATGGAAATTTTTAAAAATGCTTACTGATTATGAATACATTGCTGACAGAAAAAGTTGTATTCTCCCAATGGCTATTGAAAGATGAAGATTTCTTACTGGTTGCTGTCAACAACGTACCATGCTCATGTGGTGTCATATTATGATAAATTACTGCAGTAGGCACCAATTATCCCCATGTTCACATAGTCAAGTAGAATATTTTCGATTGTTTCTAAAGTAAAACCAAACCTCTTGAAAATAAGTCAATTTACTTTGTAAATGAAGCTAAATGAAACCTTCAGTTTCATGTTTCCACATGGTGAGGGAAATAGAATCACCATATACTATTGGGGATGAGTTACATGTAGGCAGATTATGAGAGCGGTATGTGATTTTCAGAACTGAGTTCGTTGGAAGAAGAACGCGAAGTAAAATATAATGTAGGGAATTAGTTAATAGTGAGTAACTCATTTAGCGCGTTACGGAAAGCACTTCCAACAAACTAAAGACATATATCAACAGTTACCGCCTACGCTCACTCGGTGCTGACTGAAGATCAGATGGCTAGGATAATAAGAAAAAACAACAAGGAACTCTGGCCTGGAAACGAACCAACCAAGAACCCATCGCCCAACAGATATGCAGAAGAAAGTGGAGATGGATTGGATTGGGTATACACTGAGAAGACCGACTGGGGACATCACACACGAGGCCGTCCAGTGGAAATCAAAGGGGGAGACGATGAGTTGGGCGTCGGAGGGGAGAGTGGCATGGAGGAGATGGTGTGAGGAAGAAATGAAAGGTTGTGGGCAGTTGTGGAGGCAGGTTGAAAAGACTGGAGAGAAGAGAATGGAATGGATGCATGCTACTGAAGCCCTATGTTTCACTAGGAACCTAAGGGACAAATAATAATAATAATAATAATGATAATAATAATAGTTAGCTGTCTTTAACATAATACGCAGCTCTGACTAAAGTCTATTGATCACTTTCGCGATGGGAGCATTAGGCAGAGTGATATAACACTAAAGTGTGCTGTATTTTGGTGTTAGATGTTAAGATCCAGTCAATGAAAAGCCTGGAACCGAAGTTCCAGTTATCTGGATAATTTATCACTCAGCCCTGAAGGCAGAGACTTTGCCACTGGACTGTTTAACCTATGACTGACTCCCGCAACGACGGCGTTGTTGAAATGAACCCATCTAATACAGAAATACAGTGCATCGTAGTGATACATCACTTCGCCTGATGGCCACCTTGCGAAATTAATCAGTAGACTTTAGTCACAACTGATTACTATGAACAAGACACCTGTATCGTTTATCCACTGTTGGCTTACTGGTGTACATAGTTCAGTTCTGAATGAACAACCTTGTAGTAAAGTCTCTGGTTTCAACACTGAGTACCACAGATTCGAACAATCTAGGTAACATCTATTTCCTCATGCTTGTTAGTACGCTTAACCGATAGAGTGCCAAAGAGTATGAATACTTGGCCAACGACTTCCTGCTGAATGAATCATAACAGCTAGTACCAAAATAAAATGTCTGTATGTAGTAGAATGTACCCGTGAATAGACATAAATTTCGATTTGTCTATCGACCAAAGGTAAACACTTATTGCATTCACAGGCATTCGACTACTGAGTAACTGATGTCATGCCACCAAAAGCTATCCTTTAGTGTATATCTATGTTTGTATCACCTATTGCTCTGATGCTGATAGCAGAATTCTGTTCATTTACAGCGATTCAGCTGCAGTAAGTAGGTTATTATAGGCTACTTTATGAAATAGTTAAAATTTAATTTTCTATTTAAATCATAGTTTTCAGCAATTATTTTCACTTATGCATTATTTAACTTAATTTACTTCTTTTGTATTATGAATCTGAGTAGACGAAATCTCAGGTGTTGTTCATTGAATTGTAATCAAAGTTTTGATATAGTTTGTTTTCAACGTCTCTGTGATCTGACACTTACCATCTCATAGGCCTCATACTGAGGTACGACAGATACTTCAAAGAGTTCTCAAGTCTCATTTGCAGCGATATGATATATTGTGGTATACAAAATGTGACCTTCGAAAATAATGATTTATGCAATCTTTTATGATACTAAAAAACTTGGTTAAATTATACAGATTGTAAACAGTTGTATCTGTTAGAGAGTAAATACACTCAACAACATTTTGAGTCGAAAAACACATGAGTAGATACTTTTTCTTTAGTTTTTTTGTTTGTTTGAAAGCAAGTTTGTTATCATCTTATAACTGTTTCTTTTACAATTACTTTTTCAAAATAAACAAAAATCAACATTTCAACCATTCAAAAATTTACCAGCTTCTCAATGTGTACAATGTGGCGCATTAAATACACGAAATCAACAATGGGTTTTTTATAGAATGACTGAACTTTATTTATGCAGTCATTGCAATCAACAAATCGGCGGTAACAGTGTCATTCAGTCGACAAGAAGGATGAACGAACAAAATTTCAATTTACAGTCTGATAATTCAAAGTCATTCTTTGATCCAATATTTGACAGTGAAGTGTTATTGAATAGACAGCAATTGGGCATCGACCAAGATAAAGCTTATTTATCCTCTTTGATTTGGAATGATGTCAAGTCTCCGTCAAAAGATTCGCCACTTGTATTCGGTTCGACAAACAGTTCAAGTGATATGAGTAATTGTTTGCTGTCTTTAATAATTCAGTTTTTAAAGATTTTTTTACTTGTATCTACTTTATGCATAAAACACAACATACTTCGGAAGCAAACACTGCCTTTACGTAGGAAACTTGAGACTATTATATGCGTTGTTCTGAAGATGTAAATAAATGAGAAATTTTGATTGTATTTTAATATACTTATTTTGAGTATAGGATCGAAAATAATCAAAGAGGTTCTTTAGCTTAAGATTTTAAGTATTTTATACTCCACTACATCACTCCAACACTGTCCATGTGAACACCGAACGTTGGGACTACTAAATTTCGTTAATGGCCAAAGAAATACACGAGGTGTAGGCCAGAGTTTTTAAACTTGTATATGTTTCTCAAGTAAACTTATGGATTTTAATGCTTGAAAAGAATATACTTTTTGATAAAAGGAAGGAGTTATTGTTTCTCATCTGCTCAAAATATTTTTTCTAAGATTGACGTCACAGTGCCTATCATAGATGAATACAAACAAAAGTGTCCGCAGATTTTCGTTGTTCTACGTACTGTATTTTTACGTCAACATTTTTGCAATCTACACAGTTACTATGGGGTCTTTAGAGGCATAAATAGTGTTACCAGTGTGGTCGCATTCACATTTTTCCATGATTTTGATGCACCAAGCAAACAGCCAGACAAACGCATAAAGAGTACTGATGATGAAGGCATCCACTCGCTGCTAGATAAAAATCCTATCAAACCACTGGACAGCCAAATTCAACGAAAAGTAAACAATCTAGTTAATCAAAGCTGGTCAAATCATGAGAGAAGAAAAATGGAAATTAAGAGGAATGGTCCAATTCTAAGTAGATTCTATGGTCAAGCAAAAGTAAATTAGGCGGATATTCCATTGTGATGAATAGTATCAATATGTGGGACATTATTCAATTTATCAAAAGGATCAAACGAAAAACGAAATCTTAATGATGTAAGTTAACGCTCAGTCGTTTTATCAACTCAATTCCTATGGAGAATAAAGGTGCTCAAGACAGACAGTAGTTCAGAAATAAGGTCCTTCAATGTAACTGCAATTTTCATTTCAGTCAACCCAGATTTTGTAAAAACAGTGAATATCCTTCTTAAAACAATGAAATCTTCCAAAGTACGTCGAAATCTTTACCACAAACCTGGTAAAACCATAAGCTTAGGTCTCACCATATACATTCGGTTCAATGCGACGATGTAGAAAACAAGCAAAGGAACTGGTATAGGCTGACCAATATCCAAAATGATAGCTGAAGCAGTAATCCAAAGATTAGAATCAGCAGTAATTCCAATGATTAAACTCAGAATCTGGATTTGTTATGCAGACATCACTTTTTCAGTTCTCAAAACATCATGTCTCATAAAGCAAATATTTGAGATTTGAACCTTAGAATGCATTCAATTCACAATGAAGAAAATAAAGGAGTTTCGTTTCTGAGCGTTCTCATCAGTAGAACATATGATGGAAGTTTACAAATTTAAATGTGCAAGAAGTTTACAAATGCGGAAAAAAATTTTGAACTATACCAGTAACAACCAAAAGTCTCATAAGGACAGTTGTTTACAAACACTATTTGTAAGTCCCAAGAACGAGCAAAGCACTCGACATCTACGGAAGTTAGAAGAAAACTACCTTTGAAAAGTATTTAGTCACCGAATATCCAGTCGATTTCATCAAGAAGTGCCTGTCAACATAACAGAGACCGAGGCAATTACCTAAAAACCATAGAAGGAATCACTTTACTGCATCTCAAATATACTTTGGAAACTGTCAACTAATCACTTCATACATTCAGTGTCAGCGTGACACAAACCAACCAGACCCGCACAGAATATCTTATTGAGACTGAATAGTCAATTATATAAGTAGGTTTTAATATAATTCCATTGCGTTTAGAAAATTCAAACAAGATTTTTCTGGACATTCCGTTGTGGATGCCACAAACAAGACAAGATGAATATAATCCACACGATTAGTTGCAAGGACTGTCAACATCAAGTGTTGGCCAATCCGTTCATCAAATAACCCAAAGAATTTATGAGCACCAATTTACAGTCAGATGACATGATATATCCTCATTGATCCCCATACATGTGGATGAACACGATCATAACTTCGATTGGGACAATAAGGAAACATTACAACAAGTAGGCTTGAAAACTGAAAAAGAATTCCTGGAAGCATGTATTTTGCAATCAAATGACAATCAATAGCCACATAAAAACTGACCCATGGACTTCTAAGAAAAAATCCGTCCAATACACCAATAATTGGACCTTAGGTCAGTAGCATAGGTCAAGTGTTAACAACAGTTATGAAGGTCAACATACGGCGGAAAAAGACAGAAATCATATTTACTCATAAGTCAATAACGCTTAAAGTCGGCAAATATTCCACACAGGCAGTCATACAAACTTAAAAGTTTCATCTGCTTATAAAGTAAACGGTGACGAAATCACCTATCCTGGCTTTGAGACACCCAAGAACAAACTTGAAAGCTCAGAGAACACCAGACAATTATCATTATTATACATGCTGAATTGAACTGAAGATTTATGTTCTAAAAATGTCTCACGTATACATAAATGTATATTCTCCCGAGAAGTCTTACTAGTAATGACATCTAGCTAACTCAGGTGAAAACATCGAATACTTGAATTACAGCATTATTCCTTTTAGGCTACTTTAGAATGTTTGCAAGAACCTGCTGAAGGCATAACTTTTCCGATAACAAACTATCGACTCAAGAGCACCCTAGTTTCCACACACAGACACATCTTATGTCAGTTTAACAACCAGTAATCTCATACTGTTTGGTTATATGAGTTGGTACCTTGTACATTCTCAAGGTAAAGTGCAATACTCTTTTCATGGGTGTATCATAAGCACAATAACTCCAAAAACATTTGACCCCTTGTTTTTCTGCTAAGAAGCTTGACTAATTTTACCTTCTACATAACTCCTGAAATTTAATTATGGCTGAAATGACACCTGAGTATTTATATGGTAAATGAAATGAACGCTAGTCCGTTTTCTTTCAGAGAAAACGAGAAGTTCAGTGAAGATATCTTTTCGGTGATTTCTGTCTCCATAGTTGTACAATCCCAATTTATTCACTTTTTAGTTTAGATGGTTTTGGATATTTACAAGAGATATTTATTTCGGCCTATTTCATGATATTTTGTGTCAGAGATCGCGCTTCGTGATCACGGCTGAATGGTTTTCAGTGGAAACCCTGTTTACACCAGAGTTAGGCAGTTGAAAAACTACTCAGCTGTGAGAAATGTCAACATGGATCGTGCAATTTGTAAATAATTTGGAAACTGTTCATTCGATTCTAGGTATACGGTGCATAGAAGTCAGCTCGCCAGATTCAGGTGATGTGAAGTGATTCGGCTGTGTCAGCTGAATTTGTTCATGTATACTGGTGATGGGCTTGACGTCGAACGAGCAAAACACCCATCTAGTGTTTAGATCACTCTGGTCCGGCCGGCGAAATACTACAGATCAGCCTGAGTGCTTTCTAACTACTCAAATTGTTCAGTAATAGTATATTTCGTTATTTCACGACACTTTTGTGTCAGAGGTCGTAACTTGTGATCTCAGCTGAGTGGTTTCCAGCGGAAACCCTACTGACACCAGAGTTCAGTAGTTGAAAAACTACTCAACTGAGAGAAATGTCAACATGGACAAGGCAGTTTGTAAATCATTTACAAATTGTTCATTCTAGTATCGAATTCCGTTCATTACCATGGATGTCGAAACTACTGAAGAGATTTGTTTTTCATGGAGTTTACTCTCTCTCTCTCTCTCTCTCTCTCTCTCTCTCTCTCTATATATATATATATATATATATATATATATATATATATATATAAGTAGTAAACCAGTTCTCATCTATTTCATGTGGGAACACATTTTTCCTATTTCCTTCGAACGAAACTAGAAGTTTTAGGATCTACTCATTAAGATTATGATCATATAGAATGTTGCAAGATAACTCATCAAAAAAAGGTTAATTTGTTTATTGTCTTTCCTTTTCAGATAAACACTTACAATTCCAATCTACTCAAGAGATTGTAAGTTATCCTCCATGGTCACAGTATCCAGTAAATATTATGAAGGATATGACAATGACTGGTGAAACAATGGATACTATGCTGAGTGAAGGAGAAATTCCTGAATCATCCAATGCCGTAAGTCCGAACTCATCCTTCATGTGTTTCTTTAGACATATATGTATGATGTATATATGTATAATATGTGATCGCAGAATAACTTAGATAACAGGAAAGTAATAGTGGTTTCGAACGGGGTTCAGCATGGTTTGATATTAGATGGAGGCTGGTTAGTTAGTTATTTCATCCTGACTTATCTCTACCTGGTAGTAAACGTTCTTGACCTTTCTAATCTTATGGAAGTTTATCTACCAGTTCAATGTTTTGCTGATGAAACGATCACCGCTGATACTGAATAACTCAAGTTCATTTTCAGATGGATTGCTGATGAATTAATCAGGCGTTCTAGGCTAAGATGAAAACAGCTGTTCACACCCCTCCAGTTTCATGTAGTTATTCTTTTGTTCACATTTCATGTTGAAAGCCACTTTGGAGTTCTATTGAGAAACTGCAACCTGTAGAGCCAAGCAAGTCAGACGTAGCACAAATATTCGTCGATGCCACTGGATAACAGTCACGTTATATGACAAATCAACAGAAGTAGGAAAACTGTGAACCACTCACCTCCCATGCAGTGGCTGAGTGGTTAACGCGTTCGCTAGATTGTGGCTGCTTGCTGCTGAGGAGTCTCTTACTTAGATAGGATGGTTGTTTCTTTGCTTCCAGGTTCTCAACTGTTCTTTGTCTGGTCTCAGTCAGCGATTACCCTGAATTAGATTTATTTTATTTCAGCCTACTTTGCTTTTTATCAATTTCCCCCTTTGCTTTATTGACAGAGTTCCTTTCTTTTGCAATAATATACAATTTCGACAGATCTACAGTTTTGATGCAAAGTCTTTAACAGGTGGAGGCAGTAAACAAAGTGGTAGGTGGCTGGGTAACGGCGAATAATGTGTTCACGTAAATATACACGCATTTTTGCTTTTAGCAAGCAGTGATAGACATGATAACGGTTCGGCAGTGCAACAGCTAACATCACAGTTAGTAGGATAGACAATACAGCTAAACCGAGAGGAATAACACTGAGAGCTGTTATATTTCAACTGGACCAGCCAATTATATTTCAAGTTGACACTCATTTCGTATGTGTAACTGTCAGAGGAGGGCACAGATGGTCAATATGAGCTAGTTGCTGAGTTAAATGAAGTGATTATTAAGCAAAACGTTCCTCGTTACATTACCCGATACACTGCCTTTGGGATACTCGAGAGTATAAAATCAGAGCATTATCAATTATGGCAACGTTTTCCCTTATTTCTTTGCCTTTCATCTTTCTGCATTCTCGATTGGTGTGCAGATACGAAGTGTGGCAGCTTGAACTAGGACGCAGTAATACCAAGTTAAATTCTGCTATTGACTGGCTGACTGACCAATGAAGTCATACCAGTAATTTGTAGATAAACAACCCAAGTGAGTCGTAAAATAGGTTCCAACAATTGAGAATACCAGAGGCATGATGTTAGTTTACCTAAAATCCTGATCTTCAAGTAAATTAAGTGATGGTAAAACTTTATCGAATGCTTTCTATGCAGTTATGACAACGGTCGTCATTTCATATCGTTTAATTCACGTGTATGGCTTCCCTGGTTTTGTTATTTCTATAGTTATGTACCACAAGCTCAACACGTCGTTCCGGACAATGTTGTACCAATTGTAATACATCAGCAACTACTCTGTGGAGGCGTAATACAGAAGGCGAACCGGTTTGTAACGCCTGTGGACTATATTATAAGTTGCACAAGGTTAGATAGTAAAAGTATTTTAATTCATCAAATAATCAACTTGTGTATGATAAGAAACGTACAACTGTATGCTAGTTATTTGACTATATCGCTTGTAAATGCTAAAACTGATCGTGTGAAGCTACTCAAACCTTAATCTTAACGTTTTCCGATTAAATTCGAGACAGAGAAGTTGAGTTGAGTAAATTTTGACAGAAAGTTATCACACACTTACTGTGGATGAAATTCAGATCGAAAGGTGAGGCAGAAGATCACCCACAGTGCGATAAAGTTTAGTCCTTCATCTGCCTGGAAATAATAGAATTGATACTGTGCCGTATCACAGAATGAACACTTAGATAGATAAAATTACAATTAAACCTATGAGCCAGAAGATGGATTTTTATCGAAAGAACTGAGTTTCAGAAGACTGGTTTCTGATGGCCTTGCCTGTGTGTATCTACGGTGACAAATTCTAAAAGCAACAAATTAATCACTGAATAATGTACAAGCAACCTGCTTGATTTCAAACGAGACTTTTAAAAACTGACATAACGAAGAGTGGCTAAAACTATTCATTGATGGTTGTAATTTCCCGTTGTTATACTGGAAAAATAAGTGATAACTGATGCTCGTGGCAAAAGAAACAGTTGGCGTAGCTCGGTGGATAACGTCTTGGTGTTCAAACAGGTAAGTGTAGGATTTCAGTTTTCGTGGGAGTACCATCATCCATTGGGGTGCAGATACACCTGGCTAACGAGTCCCAACTACGACGAAACGCGCATTCCGTATTCCACTGCTAGTCACCTCCAAGTAAATTAAATGTTGCTAATTTTTTTGATGTTAATTATTGACACTCGTCTAATTTGGAAAATGGATCATTATTCCTAAAGATAAATTTTCACCAAACAATACGACACATGTCGGACACCCTGAGAATTCAGAAAAGATATTTCTGATGTAATTCTATATTGGATTTACTGATTTATTTGACATGGTACACAGGGATACAGTAATATCTACTTGGTGACATTTCGAGCATAAATTATAGCTCAAAATCACATTTAAGCTTCATATCAAATAAACTAATATAATGGGGAATCACAATCTACCACAGTGCCAGACTTTCATATTTGTATCAATGAAATATGATGTGCTTGTGAGTTTGAGATAGATACGATGTCATGAAACTGTGTACACTGAAATTAGTCGATTGAAATAAAGAGAACGATTCAAACAAGGAAAGAAAGAATACGGAAAACCGAGGTTACACTTTTCATTCCACAGGAAAACAGATGTCACTTCTTACAAACATAAGTAACTTTTATGTCTTGTTTATTTCTGAGTTTAATCGAATAATGTGAGGATTGTTAGTGCAAATTTAGTATTGAGTGTGTTGGTTGGTCACTGCAGAGCAAACAGTTTTATGTTTTCTAATCCTAAATGCTAACCGAATTCTATAGATCATTTTAATTTGTGGCCACCATCACCATGGAGGACTTCTGATGTATGTTAGTTTATTAGAGGCAGACGGCGGGAAGCCATGATGAGTGTCAACAAGGACGAAACTTAGGTGGAGAGCTTCTTGCCGATTGCCTCCAACCAACTATTATGCATTAGCGCTGAATTTTAACCAGACAACCTATACACTTGTGTAGAAACGACCAGTTGAAAGGTAGAAACATTTCAAAATGAACTTCACAGTTATGCTTTAAAGTTTTTAGATAACACAGTATCTTCGTTGAAGGAATAAAATTGATTCGATTTTGTGCCTAAAGGCAACTGTGTCGCTGAAGTTCATACATTGTTATTCATTTCTCTTGAATTTTTCTAAATTATGCTCAGATAAATCGTCCAATATCCATGAAGAAAGAAGGAATTCAAACTCGCAAGAGAAAACCACGAATGAACGCGCTAAAATCTAACCAACTGTATGCAACAAGTTCATCACATGGACTTAGGAGATCCATGAATAAATTGATCGCACGTACGACTAGTACAAAAGAGGTGGGTTATCAAGATGTATGTGATAAGACATTTGTTTGGCTGCATCTTGTACAATTTCTACTCCATGTTAGTTTTAAACATGTGTAGTTGTAGGCATGTTGTGTTCTATGCATTTAAAGTATGTAGCTAAACTTATTGATACAACATTTGAGTTTAGTGTATGATCATGCTGATAATGTTGTTGATATACTTGGTAGTGGTAGGTCACTGTTCATTGGGAAATATTCAGCACAACATTTCATTAGTGAGGTGATCATTTTGACTGTCCATATACTGGACTGTACAGTAATCTGAACACAACAAGGAAATAATTTGACTAAATCGATTTGGTTAGGTTTTAACGAACTCACTTTCTAGGTTGTAGGAATTAAATAGACACTGGTATGATTGACAGTGTCCTCCTTGTGACTGCTTGATTAACCTAATGAAATATGCACTTAATCAGACTTGACTGATGAGTAGCAAAATGTGACATAGCTGGATGATCATGATATAACGACTGTTGAAAAAAATCGAAATGAATAACTGGGATTCAACTAGCTTTGATTCAGTAGATGTTCCATTATTAAGTTACTTCTTTTAAAGCTAGTATTTCAGTGTTTGGTATTCAGCGTAAGATATGCAACGTGTATCTCATTTTGAATGCAGTTAATAGGTACGCGTAAAGCACTGAGATCAAAGTAGGTGATTTTAGTGTCTGTGCATGCAGCAAAAATCGCTGTATTGGTCAGAAGATTTCTCGGAATCGCCAGTCCTAATCACTGCTTACGACACATCCTAGACACGGTTGGCATAAATCATCCAGTTATAATAATAATAAATTTGATAACTAGTTACCACGCATGGACTGCGGTAGATAGGTATGATTCGCTTTATTTAATCAAAACATAGCAATACCTTTGAGTTTTCCACCATGATGGATAGAAAAGCTGCTCATAGATCCATGTTCCTGTGTAAAATGTACACTCACAGTTCGTTTAGACTTCACTATTGCGTTTCACTGGTGGTGATATACGCTACTGCATGTTCCAGTTAGTCCACTGTTGATCCATGTGAACAATGATATTTCTTATCTGTCATATTTGAAGGTTCTAGATCAGGCTTTAAAGTCAACTCAGTCCGTTGCTTTTGTGTTAACATTCTCTTTTTCTTACCTATAAACTCTTTTACCTTCTCACTTTTGGATTTTTTTAAATGTGTGACAAAAGTGTAGGTCGATTGCTCTTCGTTATATGTTGAAGTATTTCTAGTTGTATGAGGGCGATTTTCGCCATTCATTTTCAGGAATCCTGTATTCTTCATTGAATTTGTTACTGTCGGTATAACAGTTTTGCATAAGCTTGGATGTTACCAGACCAACAGGGAAAATAGTATTTGTTTTATTAGAAGAGAAACTAAATGTGTATTAAATTTTCTTGTTTTATATTACTAACTCCTCCGTTCATAGGTTGGCAGTAATTCTCCTCAGCATAGTGAGTATCAGTTTTTCCCTTATCAACAGACAGAAGGTGTAAATGATCATTCCATTCTTCCTAAATTTGCTTCCTCATCAAATTCGGATTATGAAGAGCCATGCATGAAAAGACAGAATTTAATTGAGGTTAATTCAACAGCATTGGATAAATTGTTTGATTCTCATCTATTAAAGGAATTCAATTCAATGCTTCCAGTCCCACACAATACTCAGTTTCCTTCTCCTCCTGTGCCTCTTTCTTCTTACCATCATCGGATGAATTTCAGCGAAATCAATGATCCACTTCATGATGATCATAATGACAAGTGCAGTGACCACTTTGAAAGAAATTCTAGAATGAAAACTCGGCTGCTAATGTTTGATAGAAAAGTTGGCCAAAATTTTATGGATCCACTATTAAACTGGTCGAACAGATCAAGAAGGGAGGATGAAGCCACGGGAAGAATGTCAATGAATAGTATGGATCTAGACATTATTCGTAATCATATCACCAGTAGTAGTCATAACAGTGACGACAATTCTTACATCCGACTGAATTTTCCCAAGACGGATGTGAATGTTTTAAATTTTCGACATCAAAGGATTGATCAGCGACCTCAAACGGAAAGTACAACGTATTCAACACCTGAACAGAACATAACTGATAATTTAGTGAGTAATATCAAGTTAGAAATGAGGCATACTGCAAGTTTGATGATATATAACAAGCAGTTTTTAATTTAAATTTCGTTTTAATAAGTATTGTAAATTTTTATCATAAATTTCTGAATAGTTCTAAATGCTGTAACATTCAGGCAGGTTGGTTTTAACAACATCTATTTATTTGACAATTCGTTTTGTAATTCATATTATAACTGAAGTCCTGAATCCTTTTATTGGATACATGTTGGTACCTAAGGTTACTTGTCACTTGTCATTGAAAGTCGACTTAGAAACTGACTGACCGCTTTGCCATCAGTATTTGAGCTAATCACCAACCAATCAATTAAATGGGGGAAGGAAATTTATTCAATTTTTTTAAAGATATTAGATGTGAGTTTCAATCATTTTGTGGAAGCTATACACTTACCAAATATAAATAAGCGAAATAGTTGCAGAACTTTACTGTTCAGTATAACAGGAGTCAATAAAAGTATTTAATATACAATAAGTTTTACGACAGTGTCGACAGATGAAAGAAAACAAGATTTTCTTAGATTCGAAACAGCGAATTCTGAAATGATGAATTGGCGGGCTAACTGAAATGTTTTTACTGAAAAGACTAGACTGTAGTGTGGCTTCAGAAGTACTGTCAGAAAATGGGAATAACAATCTGGTTTTAGAAATCCTTATGTAAACTGAAACCCACTTACAATTTGGCTCACTTTCTTACACTTGAACATTTACCTGCATGTTTGAACAGGCAAAAATCACAACCTTTTGTATCAAACTAGGCTTCAAATTTGATTTGAATTTTCTCTTTCCTTAGAAAATATACTCGAAAGAATTCAATTCAGTAAATGTTGTGATAATTATTTAGTGATCTTCACGTGATGAAATTCATTAGACTAGTTGACATTATCGATAACTTACAAAATAAAATAAAAGGGGATTTTGACTGATTCATGTTTAGATCTTTCTTGGTATTTGTCTGATCTACTCACAAGAAGCCTTTAGTCTAGACACTAAAATCTATCGGCAATTTATATAATGGCCTATTTCTCAGGACGCATCAAATTCGGTTAGTCAGAAAGTTTATTGTAAGCTCTCTGCTGGGCAATTTAACATAGCAATCCATGTTGTTCGATAGATATAGACTAACGATCAACTTTCATGATTATTATCAGCACTAACTATAAGGTACCTACTTCAATTAGCCTCTTAAACGAAGAATTCACCTTCTTTATTTTACAGATTCTTTTCATTTATGAGGCATAATTTCAAGATCCTTGAAATCTTTGTCAGCTGCCTTGTTAAACTGTGGCTGTTAACAATGTCTAGCTTAAAATATTCATTCTCTTCTGGGTACACTAGTCAACTATTGTAGCTACCCACTAGAATATATATATATATATATATATATATATATATATATATATACTCAAAGAGTAATAATATCCCTATTTACAAGCATGTATATGACAGTGTAGCAATGAATATTGTGTTGCAAAGATCAATAAGGGAACCAGCAGCAAGGTAGAGTTAACAAAGACCTTTTGATTACTGTCCAGATATGCATTCCAACAGGCTACCTAGGTTTTATTAGTTAATCATTCAAATGATCTTGATATGTAGTGAAGGTCACTTCTGAATCCGTAAATGTTCAGGAATAAATGATTAAAATGAACAGTATACTGTATTATCCTCATAGCCACTGGAATTTACGTTATGAGGTGAAAATTTCTAGCTTTTCGTCTCTGAAGTGAGTACAAGAATAATGTAAATATTGTTTTCAAAGTTTAGTTTTAGTAGGGGACCTATTCGGAAGGAAAACGCAATCCCACTTGGTATTAATCTGGCGCCATTTCTGTAGTGAACACCTAGGGACAAAGTACAGTTTTGCGATATTTGGCTCAAGGTTAACTGAGCGAGAACCAATGTACTTAGATTCCATATGCTTTTTCACGAGATCTCAGCTGTGAACAAGTGTGATACAGATTTCTTAAACTAAATGATGGCTAGTATTCGCCAGATGCCATTAACATCATTACACCCATGCATATCTTTAAGTTTAAATAATTAGGTAAAATAACATACACTACTAGCCAATAGTAAGTAACTTGTAGTTTTGAGACGAAAACCGTGACCTTCCATAGCCCTATGATTAGTAAGTGGCCTGCTGTGCATGTCAACAAGATGGCCTAATGTCTGGAAATATGGGCCTTGTACATACTAGCTTTCGATTGTTGCCAAGTAGGATTATCATGCATGTTTCCTAAAGTAATTATTACAGAACACGAAATCAACTGTTAATAATTTCTATTGCTCTTTTTAAAGCTGAGGAACTCAGTATACGCTTTTAATTTTTATTCTGACCTAATGAATTTACATGATGCACACCTTGGATTTTCATTCGACTGGAAAATCTATCTTCTTAAGCTATGGAATGATATATATGCACACCAAGATAAAAAGTCAGTATACTTTATTGGCTTGGAATAAACGTTTACAGATGTACTTGAGAAAGGACCACATTGTTTTCTAATGATTTGTTTATAAATCCTAACTGTATCATTTAATTTCAAAGCTCATCTCAGTTACTTGTCCTTCTAGTCTTGATTGTGAGAATCTCTTTTTCAAGTAATACGAATTTTGGCCTGGCCATATATAGATAAACAATGGTGTTTAGAATATAGCTATGGCCCGTTTTTCTGATTGGTTAACAATAAGTGTCCAATAGGTTGTTATAATTAAGCTATTGTCGTTCGGTTTGTTTTCGATAAGACTGGTTGAAATGGTAGATCAACAAAAAATCGAGGTTGAAGTCATAGTTTGGATTGATAAAGATATTTAGTGATCAAGTTGGAAAAAACCCGTTCTACTACTTTTGTGGTGTATTAAAAATAGCACAATTTTAAAAATGTTCATTTGGTGCTCTTTACATATATTACCGAATAACTGACTATTTCATGGTGCAGAATATAATCATGCTTCTGGAAGACGATCTCTTTCGATGTATATTAGGTATCGAACAATTTGAAGCCAGTTATTGGACATACCATACGGAACTTTGAATAAGCAGAGCTTGCAAGAGGATTCAGAGGAGTAAGGTGGACAGCAGCTATCTGAACTGTCTTTTGTTTTCAATGGACTGTGAACTGGTGTTTTTCATCGAGATGTCTGTTTGTGTTATTTTTATGCAATCCCATTGCAGGACGACTACCAAGGAATACACCATACTGAGATATCTAGAGTAATTAAGTATGCATTCTACCATAGTCAGTCGTTTTGACTTACTTTTGAGGTTTCCGGCAACGAGTTGATGAGGGTATCAGTACGTGTGACTGCAGTAAATACTTTGAGTCGATTGTTGTGTTAAAATAAGGTCTGCTTTGCAGTGCATTATCATATTCAGTAGTTACAATATCAGAAAGATGTTGAGTACTTTAGTTGGGAGTGAGTTTTGGTGAAGATTATGACTTTCTAAAGACACGAGTGAATATCTAGGATTACATTAGTTAATGTATATAGAGGAGACTGGGTTGAATAGTTCATTTATGATAAGTGGTTTTGTTTTCGTAAAGTTTATTAGCAATAAAGAGGCAGAAATCTTACCAGATAGTAGATACATCTGCCCAGGTATCTGGTTATCAGTAAGTACATCGGTTACACGTTAAATAACTGAATTGGAGCGTAATTCGCATTGTTTCAGTTCGTCAACAGTTGGTTGCAACTACATATTAACACTGTAAACGAACTTCATGGTCATATTTAAGAAAATATTTCAGGATGTACACAAGTTAGCTAAACAGTGGTTTGTATTGACCAAACTAAGATTTGTCATTCCTGTGGACTTTCAATTTTTTAGTTTTCTGAAGAAATGTAAGTTGACGTAAACTGATAGAGGAGGAAATATGGACGTTAGCAAGTGAGCATCACAAGTATTGATAGTCAGACGACTTTAAGTGTAATATCTACTTTCTTCGGCAGGAGAAATTAATGTTTTTAGAATCTGTTCATCAGTCAAGCCTAACCATTAGTTGAAAACATCGATAGCCTGATATGATTTCGATATTCTTTATTCTCTTTTAACTAGGAATCTTTGTTTAAATTACTTCAAATCATTTTCTGATTTTAAGTACAGAATCCTATTTTGTTGAGAGGGTTTCGTAAGCAAATGGTCGATAAGCGTGTCTTTGGATTGTACTAGTAAAATCTACATTGTTTTTAACTAGGTCGGTGTAGAGATTAAGTAGATTATATGTAGCAAGAAGAATACCTGTTCCAGATAAAAATGAATATTGACTTGTGTCCCAGAGTGGAGACATTTCAAATTATTATGTGAGGATGGTGATGACAGCCATAAGTTTCTTCTTCACTTTATCAGAATAGTAATAATTTATTCATCATTTAGTTTTCCCTTGGGTTCCTAGTGGAACATACCGCTTCAGTAGCACACATCCATTCCACTCTCTTCTCTCCAGTCTTTTCAACCTGCCTCCACAACTGCCCACAACCTTTCATTTCTTTCTCACACCATCTCCTCCATGCCACTCTCCCCTCCGACGCCCAACTCGGCGTCTCCCCTTTGGTTTCCACTCGACAGCCTCGTGCATGATGTCCCCAGTCGGTCTTCTCAGTGTATGCCCAATCCAATCCATCTCCACTTTCTTCTGCATATTTGTTGGGTGATGGGTTCTCCGTTGGTTCGTTTCCAGGCCAGAGTTACTTCTTGCTTGTTCTTATTATTCTAGCCATTTGATCTCCAGTATCGAGTGAGCGTAGGCGGCAGCTGTTGATGAATATCTGTAGTTTGTTGAGAATGCTTTTCGTGACACTGCAAATTTCTGAACCATATAACAGCACTGATTTGACATTGATGTTGAAAATTCGGATCTTGTTCACGCTTTATGCTGAGTGTAGTAGATCTCCATACTGGTTTCAGGTTAATGAAAGCCTGTCTTGCTTTTCCGATCCTGGCTGGTTTTGACATCCTCGTGTATGTCTGTGCAGCCTGCAGTTGAAACGATGCTACCTGCCTATATAGGTGAAAGAGACTACTTCCGTTAGATTTCTCCCGTTCACGGCGATTGTTGTTCATGCTGTTGTTCATTGGGCATCTTCATCACCTCCATCTTCTCTACGTTCACTTGAAGTCCCGTCCTCGCTGCCTCTTCTGTCAACTTGTTAGTTTTCGCCTGTAAATCTTCGAGTTTATGCGACATCAAACATAAATCATCATCGGCGAAATCGAAATCTTCTTCTGGGGTCTTTTCATCGATCAAACAGCATATCTCCCTCTTCTCACTCCTCATGGTTTGCTGCATGATCCAGTCGACCACAATCAGGAAGATCATGGGTGATAGTAGGCAACCTTGTTTTACTCCTGTCTTCACTTCATAGGCGTCATTGAGCTTTCCATTGTGGATCACTTGGCATGTGGCGTCTTCATATAGCCAGCTGTTGAATGAGGTTGATAAAGATTTGTGGCATTATAAAGAAACTCCCAAGCACAAAGAAAGTATAAAAAAGAACAATAATAATATAATGGTATTAATAACAGCCAACAGAGTAATTTTAAGCAGTTTTGGATAAAGATGTGTAATAGGTATTTCCATTGTAGTTTCCGCCAGCCAGGGAAACTTGCGTTATCTTTTCCTAGTAGAAAACTAAACTCTTTTTTGTATTGATTAACAAGCAAACAATAGGTTGTCCAAGTGATCTTCGGGTTAGTAGATTTCAGTGATCAGCCATAGAAGTTATGAGGATGCGTTTACATTCGCTTCTAAAAACGCTTAATAATCATAAATATTTCAATCCTTTGGATCATGATTAGCTTACCTAAGGCTAATACTACTTAAATATATGAATATTTGAAAATCGACTGTTTACTTACCAGTTACTAGGACGTAGGTAGACACAGAAACATTTGGCTTGCCCTAAAAAATATTTCTGATGTCGTTGGTATGCACGGCGCTTAGGATACTGTCTTCAATTATTATAGAAAGCTGCTTTAGCCTTAGAAAGGACTGGAACACGTAATTAGTGAGTGACTTTAAAAGCCACCCAAGCAACTATTGAAACCACTAATTAGGTTTGTTTATTTAATGAAGAAATACTTTTCTAGCCAGAAAAAAATCTAACTGTTTATTTCAGTGGTTGCTAAGGTGGCCTTTAGAGTCACTAGTAATCAGTAGCTACCTGAATAGATCTTGCGATCGCAGTTAATTCACTGAGATTAAATCAACTTTGAGAAGAAATACTCAAATATTTAGTTGTTCCCTTTTTTCATCTTCAGAATATATAACAAAATCCATTCTAGTCAAGAATACTATATCATACTTTTTTCATTTCAGCAGTCAACAAGTTTAATGAATCAGTTTCATAGTAATGAGCAGTCAGATATTGGAATGAATTTACCAGAACCAACTTTTCCATCACCTTTACATTTTAGCCAAGCTTCAGAAGCATAACAGAAAACAAACGAACAAATTCTACTACCATGTACATGTATAAATCTGATCACAACTTATTCAGTTTGCATAAAATGAACAAAACTATCGTTGTTCAGATGAAGAACCCTCTTTGTCTTTTATCCACTTCCGTTGGACACTGAATAAAATTGTTCATTTTTGAAGAAGTAATCAAATTTTAGTGATTGGAAGAATTGTAAAGTCATTGGGTGCGTCATATTTAAAAAAAGATTATGTCGGTGACCTTACTGTTAAACTTTCCACCAAGAATAATGGAAGGAGACAGCGTTTACTGAGTCACTACAGAAATATTATTTCTTCATTCAAACTATGGATAAATACCAAATTTTTTGATTTTATTATCAGTGATAGAACAATGTTTGACATTATTCGAATTGTTAATATGTTAATTCTATTTCTCTATTTGAAAATTTCTTCTTTTTCACCATAAAAATATCTTCAATTTGTTCTCTGCTATTCAGTTATGTATAACAGAGTTTAACTGTCACTTTCATCAACCACTTTAAAATGCCATGGTGACAGAATGCATTAATATGTATTCCTAACGTTAAGAAAGACACACTATTCTTGATATTAACAAACGAACAACATATTAGCTGGTACAAAAGTTTAAGTTACTATGCTTCAAATCATTACATCAAGGTGGAAGCACACAATGAGAAAGGCCAACATTTGAAGACAACAACAACGGTTGTAATAAAAATAAAAAGACCAAGGAAATGCAGATAAATGATGTCCATACTTAGCGACAAAGTATAGATAATGTTACCAGTTATGTGTTCAAAGTAGTTGGCAGGGAAAAGGTATGAGAACCAGCGATTTTCAGATAGCTGGTACGGTACGCCACCAACATGAACAGAAGGCGCGATGAAGACGAGAATTTACTTTCACTTAAATATATCAAAATTCCCATACCATTAACTAAAGGACAAATAAATCCCAGTGAATTTGTTAGAACCAACCTTTCCTTCGCCCTAACAATCCATAAGTCATATTTCAAAATGATACATGAATAATTAGATTTGCATTTGCCACTTCACCATCATGCTAACTAGTCAAACGTCTTACGGAGAGCCACTGACAGACAACCAAATGCAGTATCAAATATAAGAGATTAGTGTTTATGAGATGAGTAAAATGCAAATCATCGACTACGAGTTACGACCTCTAGTGAGCTTACACAATACTGTAATAAATGGGAAGTTCCTTAATTCTTAGTGATGGAAACGACTATCGCTCTCGTTTTCGAGTTACTCACTCTGTTAAGTAGGATTTTTAATCTCGTTATGTATCACGAAACAATGGCCTCCCCTTTTTCATAAATTAATCAGAAGAATTAGACACTTTACGTGTAATAATGAATTTGGCGGTAACAGCTCTTAACTTGGCATATAAGTGGTCAGCCCAATGAAGCATATTACTCCTTGATAGTGGTAGTACACTGGAGGTTCAACTTGGCTTAGAAAGCACCAACAAGTATATGTATTATGCACTCCGGTAGACAGTTCCAACGACTTACAATTCTGTGCGAAAAACGAATTCCGAGACGTAGACGATTTGACCGTGGTTCATGACCTTATTAATGATGTCGTTTAAGGTAAACAGTTCTCGAGAGAAATAAACAAGATAAGTTAGTACGTAAATCACCATTTAAGCTACGATAAGCTAAAATAAGATTACCCATCACGCTAAGTTTGGACAGTGGAAAAAGTCACAATCAACCCAGTTTTTTCGTAGAAGTTGAAGAGCCTTTGTCCGTCTTAGTTTCTACCATCTGAAAAATTCAAAATCCCATCAGCAACCACAAGCACATTTGAGCTACACCTATTGTGTGAGGGCTAGCGATACTAACTGGCTGCTCAAGCCGTCTAATTTATCAGCTTCATATTGAAAATACAGACTTGCTGCTACAATACCGTAGTGCAGATGAGTTCTATCATAAGATCCGAAACATATTCTTGTTAAAGCTCTGACTGGCTTTTCGTAAGGACTACAAAACCCGAAAGCCTTTAGCAGGTGCTAATCTACAACTAGTTGAGCTTTTAAAGTCATGATTAACTGTGACACATAAGTCCCCGCAGTCAGTTGCTTCGGGTGGCAGATTGTCGTTGCTCGAGTATTCAGGTGCGTGGTCATGACTATTCAACATTACTTGTGGTATTAATTCCTAGGCACAACCTTGCCAACCAATCTGCTGGAGAATTTAGCTCATCCTGTTGGAGCGCAGCCTAGCCCTATCATTATGAAAATCTTTCCGTCTTTTCCAAACATTTGAACGGAAAACATTTTCTTTCTGGGCAACTCATTCACATACAGCAGGAGGAGAAGTAAACGTAAGATAATACCATTAGGCAACCCGTTCTTTACTAGTTTCCACGAGAAAAAAACTATGTTTGCTCTTACTTTTTGTCTGCTATCGAAAAGAGAGTCCTTGGCCCAGTTTCTAACTACATCATTAATTTCTAAGCTTCCCAGCTTCTTCTTCTTCAAACAAAAGCTTTAATGAAGTCAGTGAATGTTACAACAGTTGGAACATTTACCTTGCTGGTAGCAGCCTAGTCCTGATGCTTTTTAAAACCAAAGTGATTCTTTATTAAAAACGTTCAGCTGGTAATAACGTGGTTTCACAGGATAATTTATGAAAACAGAAAGAAGCAATCAAGGTGAGAGGTTTATTTTGAAAATATATTAAATACATCAAAAGTTGCAGTCACAAGATTAAGCTAAGGTACGAATGCATCTACATATTCCAGACTAAAAGTCAGATACTGAATGGATGAATTCTGTTTCGATCTGACCAACCATGTCTTTTGTCAACTGCCTACTTCAGCTGGAATAGCTCGTCGAAGTAAAGGTGGATTAGAAGGGAAAACGCATTTCTCGTTCCTTATATACTAGAGTGATGCACAGCAGCTTGATGAAACTTTGATTCTAATTCTCCAGTTCCCGATAATTAACCCTGTTTCGTAGTTGGAAAGACGTTTTCAACTTCATTGAGAGTAAGTGGACAAAAAAACATCACATTCAAACTGGGGTCGAAAGTGTGACCGACCCGCTCATCAACTACCCTAGGCCTACCCAATATTCCAGTCAGCTGTTTGTGAATTTTTAGAGACCTATTTTTTAGTGACAGTTCCAATTGTTAGATTAGTCTCCTTAGCAAACCGAAGTGAGTACAAAGTATTACCTAGCACTAGCGTCTTCTCCACCTCTTTTGTCACCCACGACTGCTCACAGTAATTACAAAGATTTTTAGTCAGCTAAAGCCCAAGCTTCTTTTCCTCTGAAGTCGGCCGGAAGGAATCTTGTCGCATCACAGCACTTCTAAGTTAATGACTACCTTTAATGTAGTTTCTACAAGTGACTACATATTACGCCAAGCTACTCCAGTTACGACACAGTCATATAAGTCCAGCAGCAACTTTATTTCATCCCGTCAATTGACCTATCAATCAGAAAGCCTTATAGCAGTACGCCTCAATAAAATGAGTAGCCAGTAAGTACAATACCCAACTGAACGCTCAATATGAGAACGCTAGTGGTTGGTTTAGAGTCTGAGTAACAGGTCGACGTCAACTGATGTTAACGATATTTACTGTTGTCTTAATTTATGAGTGACGCGCTTATGGAAGTTCCCCATTTCCTTGTCCAACTTTATAGGCGTGCATCTCGTTGCAAGCAAATTTTTGGTGGATTTAGAGTATGCAAATGATAAAATATTCTAGCATGAAGAGACTGATAGTTTGAGATGTGTATCTGACCACCTAAATCGATGCTTAAAGACTGGTTTGCCGTGACACCTCATCTGACAATAGTGAGATGGTTTACAGCATTGGTGGCTTCTTTTAATAAAGAAACCGGAGCAACACTGGTAGCACGTCGCTGTGGATAAAAAGGGGATCATGAAGGTTATGAACCTTTGTTCAGTGCGTGTGATATTTCAGGATGGATAAACATGAAAAGGAAATGCTAGAAACTCTAGGTAATGTCACTAAGAAAGTATCACAATCTTGTGAATAAAATATAGTCATATTTTGAGCAAAAACTTGATCTCAGTCAAAGTATGTTACACATTAACGCATGCAATCAAAACCGGTACAGGTAAATAAGCACCAAACGATAAAAAGTGCTTCTTGTGTGAGGGCTAATTATACTCCCAGATTGCCCAGACCGAAGTAGACGCAGCGGGAATTGAACCCGAAACCCTTTGTTTGAATGTCAATCACTTAAGTCGATGGCCCCCAGCCCATCTTTTCAAATATCTGGAATTGAAACCTGAACCGCTGCGTAGAAATGCAGTCTCATTTTGACTGACTGCAGCAGTTAGGTCATCCATTAGTGTGACTACTTCTGAACGCCGATTCAGAAAATATCCTCCGTTTTCCTTGAAGTTAGCGCTAGTTAGAAACAAGTGATTATCACGACAAATTTCAGGAGACGACCACCGGTTGGTCAGTAGATATGATACAGCCGAAATGCTTTTCCAATTGGCTCAGCTTGCTCATTTGAAAATTGAAGTTGCCCACTATTAGGACTATGTCTGAAAATCTCATTTTCTGTAGCGAAGTTGACAGTTTTTGGCAAAAAATCCTTGCCGTCGTCTTAACTGTATTTGGTGGGTAGACTTTGTATAGGTATCGTTGAGTGTTACGGTCTTTTCCAGAGAGACAGATTATTCAACGCAGAACGTGGTACGGAAGTGCATCGGACCAACTCGTCATACTTCAGAGCAGTATGCGAAGAAGTGAAGAGGAAAATAACGACATCAGAATAGATAAAAGTGTTTTCAACAACAGAATAAATAGATACTTAGTGAACACATTCAAAATAGCAATGAATGCACATGTCTTTACCACTGTGACCAATTTCGAGCCATGTTACTACGAGTCTCCACTCACTAATTCTAAACGCTTCGTAGACTCCAACCAGACAGTTTACACCTCCCTACATAGATCAGACAAACAGTCATACTTCGCAAACCAGTGTCATATCTTCACCTGATTGCCTTTGGCCTGTTTCAGACCCAATCCTACTTCAAATAACATTACATATCGAGATAGGCGGTGCCTCAGCATGTACGTATCCAGGCCACTTCAGTCACAGAAGATTCACAATCCTATCGACTGACTTGCTTTGTTTCATACTTCTAACCTCGCCACCACTCTAACAGTGGTCCTAAGTAGTGAGTTCATGAGATCTAGCTATTGAATATCCAGACACTAATGAAATGAATTTTGTAGATCCACACCAGCTAGGCTAATAGTCATGGTTTGATCCCGTGTGCATGTTTTACAAACAACTAATACATCCACTGTCCGAGAAAATGGAGTTTTGTCAAGTGACATCTGTTGTCCGATTCGAACGCCGAAAGATGCAACATGGCTTTAGTAGAATGACTTCAGAAGAATATAAATAGTGTTTCCCAGGTTTGGAATCACTAAAGGGTATGCAGTAAGAGAACTGTGGGAAGAATAGTGATGGCAACAAAAAGTTTCGCAACTTGGGACGCCCGTAATAAGTCCTGCTGATGATACCGTGTAAATTACTGTACCTAAAAGGAGTTAGTATTCGATGATCCTAGGTCCTATTGTAACGACTTTTAGGAACATTGATACTTGTCAAGTTGCATTTGCATTCCGAGAACCCTACCATTGGTACTGAAAGACCACAATTTAAGGTTCAAACTTCTTTCCTAGAGCAGAACTAGGAGCAGCTGAAATACCACTCAGCCCAGAAAAACATAAACTTGGAAAATATAAGGATAATAGTTTCCACACCACCCTTGACACTAAAATGAGATAAGGATTACAACGGAAGGTTGGAGGCAAGGACAAATTGTTTTCGAATACACAAAGGGGGTTGAACTTTCATGTAGGTACGGCTGCAGTGAACCCAAGTATACGGTCTTTACAGCTCCTGAAAGCTGTTTTCAAGTCACTCCTGTTTCTATGTTTACCTATAGACGACGAAGTCTGTTTACCTCCTGTATTTGTCAGATTATTTGAATGCAACTGTCTTTCTAGCCATTAAGGGATATGCTCCACCACTATCGAATTCCTAGTTCCATTACTCCTCCCAGTGTGACACTGCACATACATGTAAACTGGTATGCACAGTGGCACGTGACTTAATCATTTATGTATTGATGAGGTTTATTTTGAAGTATAGGTTTCTTTTTCCCTAAAATATTGGGATTGACTGCATACTTCGCTTTTAATAACTGAAATAACTCTTCGTCTTAAGATCGTGTTATCCGATTCCCCTTTATGGGGTGGCGTGATGTAAATGTCCTTCTTCTAAACAGAACACTGGTTGGTTCGCATCGTTGAGACCTAGGTTGTACCGTATTCGACAAAAACTATGAAAGTTTAGGTACTATCCGGTTTTCTATATACTGCTCTTTATATTGACCCATCTTCCCTTCTAGTTAACAATACGTCAAGAAAAGGAAGCTGATTATCCCCTACTTCACACGATAAAAATGATGTGGCTTTATATGCAAATTATCCACAACCAGATCTCTCGTTTGATTTTATTGCTTACGTTTAGAGGATGTCATGTTGTCGGCAGACTGTGTTAGCCAAAACTTCATCATAGGAATTATTTGTTTCTAATTTTTGAAAAGAAATCAGATGATCTTGTTACCTTAAGGTGTAAAAGTATACCTCAGAAGGTGAAAATGGATCTTTGCAAATCTTGTATTTCGAAACACGTTTCCCAGATAGATGTATAAATCACTGCGTTCTAAGTAAACTAAGACTTAACGTTTAAAAACCTTATTCACCTCGCTAATTCGCATGTGAAACGTTGAACAAATTAGTGGACATTCATATTCATGGATCGTCTGTGTTGTCAGATATCTTACTCATATATCACATCTCATATCATCGACAAAGCTTTATCGCTTGGATTTAAGTTTTCTGTGCACCATGTAAAGAATTCCAAGTTGGCGATTGACACTCAGCTTGAATATCTTTATGATCAACTGAGTTCAACTGTTCCAACTTCTACTGAAAATCAAAGCTGACTGAAAGTCATAGGCCACTTTCAGAGAGAAACTGGTTCGACAGTTATCGGAATAAAACAACACCACTTATCCAGAGGAAGCTTAGCCCCATCTTCATCCAGTCTGCTGTAAAAATAGAGTTGAAGACAGTATCCAACTCTTAGAGAGTAGTTAAGAAAAGCCAGTGGTCTCAGCAGCTTCTTTCGAATTAATGGATGCACGCAAACGCATCCCTGCGTACAATGAGCAGCGATTGCAACTCATACGTAGACCAGCTAAGTGTTTACGCAATGACCACGAAAAGTGGTGGAGGGTGAAGGCTGAAGAGATGGAAAAGGAAGTGGCGATAGGTGCTTACAATTTTCAAATAAACGAAAATATCAATGGTTATTGACTGCAATGGAGGATGAATGAGACTCATCCGAAGGGGAGACGACTAGAACGAAGGCCAGAACGCTTCAACCAGCCTCCAGCTACTATGGCGTTGCTCGTTATCTAGTCAGAGCCTAAATGGAAGATCTAGATAGCACACCTAACACTTGTAGAAGTCCAAAAAGCGGTAGGAGGAAGAGCAAAAGGGTCAGATGAACTAGTTCCATAGGTATTTAGGGACTGGTAGAGAATTCTTGATCAGGTTAACTAGTGTATTGGAGTCAGATACGATACCCTCTGATTGGTCTTAACCACTCAAGAAAGGCAATAAGTCCCTTTGTGATAACCACAGAACAACCAGTCTGAAAAACACAGTGGAGATCAGTAACAGCAAACCCTAGAAAACCAGGTAAGCTTCACACAAGGACGAGGGTGTTTCCACCAGATACTCACAATTCTGGAACAAAGGGACACTTACCGACTCCCAAAATTAACTGTATTTCTCGAACTGAAGGCGGCATTCGACTCTATCGATTGAGGTCTTATGTCAGTGTCCTTCACTGAGGTGCCAAGTAGGTAAATCATTCAATTAAAGACTTTGTATTTAAACAATTCAGAGCACATTAGAGCCTATGGCGAGTTGCGTAAATCAAATGATGTCCGCTATCATCATTCCTATTCAATTTCATCATAGGCATTCTTATTGAGGTCTTCGTCTCATCGACTCACTTAATAGGGATTGACTTAATCACAGGAGAATCCTTGGTAGATCTACAACACGGAGATGACATAGTCCTGTTAGGTGGAGACGCGATCGTTTTGACATCTTGAGAATGTTTGGTATGCATTTCTCGCGACACAAATGCAAACTGTTGTTCTAAGAATGGTCTTCTGCGGCTAGCAATCAGAAGTGAAGTGTTCAACTGCATTTAACTTACCTGGGAAGTCGGAACAGCCATGATGAGTCAGGCTTTCGCCATCTGTGGCGCCGCTGAGATATCCGACCGTCTACCAAGAGTCTAGTATACTGTGCTGAAGTCTGCTCTGTTCTACTCTATGGCTGTAAAGCATGGCCAAAAAAAGTAAATGACATGAGAAGGCTTCATGTGTTTGACCACTGTCGGCTTACTAGAATAGGCCGTGTCGTGGCGTCACCAACGCAGAAAACAGGCGTAGAGTTTTAGGGAGGAGTGGGAAGTCAGTTGATGAGGCCGTGAACCTACGTCGACTGAGATATGTGTAAGCTCAGGCTGGAAAAACGATCGGAGTGGACAAACTAAAATATGGCATCAGTGGATGAAGTCTTTGACTGTTGGTCTGAGCCATGTAGAGAGATGCAGACAAGCTGGTTGGGATTCGCGTGATAGCAAGAACCATTGGTTAAAGGCTCTAGGTGATATAGATCAGAATCGATGTAAGTGGTGAATTACCTTAATCGCTACATTGAATTCAGCATTTTCTTATTCCTTTCTGTTACTAATTTCAACTGCTTTTGACCGATTTTCCTTCTTTCTTCATATTATTGCTTTGCTACTCGATGTAGTGATATGGGGTGGGGGTAGCTTGAACCGTTCCTTACACAGTAATGCCCAGCCCTTTGTTGGTGATCTGTTAGTCAACAAGTATTCGGATATCTTTGCAGCACAAGCCAGCGCACCCCTGTAACGAGATGCAATCACTCGCCAACTCTTGTCGAGTACCTGTCTTACGGAGAGAGTGCCACGAAATCTCGCCTTTAGGTTCAGAAATATGTTAAAACCTGCAATGGGAAGGGCATTAAACAAATACATTTGAATTCTTCTAACAGAAAGGGAACTGTAAATCAAGAATGAAAATCTTAGCGTAGTCCCATGTGTTAGGATTTCCATAAATCGAAAAAAATCTGAATGAGGTAAGAGCAGACGGTGTCACTTAGGTCGGTTTGAAACAGCCATGTTCAAATACAAAACAGTTGTCAGTTTCATCTGGAGCTATAAATCTATTCTCATATTGTAAAGAGATATTCCTTTCAGTTTCCAACTAGGCGAAGGTCCATGAACGAAATATGCGATAGACAGAATAGAATGTATGGTGGTGTGTCAGAGATATGCAATAGCTCGAAATCCTTAGTTTTGCAGACAACATCTGACTTCTAAGTAAAGCACAGAAACTGGAGAAAGTCGAAATCCTTCTGGTGACCTTGTGAAGTAGGCAAAGAGTCACACTTCTCGTGTAAGGGCTAATAATACTCCCAGGTGTCCAGACTCAAGTAGGTGGGATGGGATTTGAACCCAAAACCCGGTTCCTTTGAAGCCAATCATCTAGACCTATGGCAAGCATTGGTGTGATTAAAAGACTAAATTCAAGCTACTTAGCAGAGGTTATAGGTGTCATTTTTTTCCGACAGAATCTACGTGTATCGTAAAGCCATCCATGTAGCGAACACCAGCGGCCTTATTGACAGCCAAAATGATGGCATAAGTGTGAATCAGGCCACGTCAAAATGGCAAGACGAAGTCAACACAAATGAAAACAATTCAAATTACATCGATAACAAGATCGAGACGGTACAGTTAGGCGGATGAGACAGTTTTCCGGAAAGCATAGTTTCTGTATGCATTCGTTTTGACACCATAACACCGCTTATTACTCTAGACGCTTCATAGATAGTGTTGCTTTTGGAACTTGGCAGAACGAGCAGGTTTCGAATACATATTATGAGCTGGTAGCGCTATATGCTTGAAGCAATAAAAGAAGTTCCACAATTGGTATGCTGAATGTACATGTGATTACCTATATGTGTAGATTTGATCGCATGAACCTGGCTAGTGAAAGCTATTACTAACTTGGAATAGTTGATTTATAAGAATATCATTCACCTGTGTACATATCATTTCAGTCCAAAGTAAGTCTTTTTCTGAAAATATAACTGGTCTTTGATTTAAGCTTCCTTTATTTGCAGAATTCTTACTTATCTTCATCCGATTACCTTGTAAACTGTTACATTGGTGATCGAAATAGGCACGAAGAAAACCTAGAGAAAACATATCATAATTAGTAGGTCATTTGAGACTTTTTTCACCTTCGACCCAAACAAAATTCGCTTTTCTTGGGAAGATATTCTAAAATTAAGAATTGCTAAGGTGTGTGACGGGGGCGTTACTAAAAAATTTTAAATGTTAATATTAACAGGAAAAGAAAGAAAAAATTCAAACGAGTTATAAGTAGACCACCTTCAGTTTTATGGATTCCTGAAGAAATCGGTATTAGGCTGTGTATGTGTGTGTCAAGAGTAAAAAAAAAGGGTGGTAAAAGACTGCTTTGAATATGCACAGAAAAGCAGACAATATAGAATAGATCTGACATTCGCATAAGGTTAAAAAAGTCGTCAACAACTGATAAACACCAGAAATTCTTATCGGTCATATGTACTTTTAGGAAACCCCAAGCAGCCGGTGTAATGCAGTGCGGTGAGTATATAAAATAAAATTTCGGTTAACAAGGGCTTGATATCAATCAGTCAGTGTCCATTTTACTTTCATCAGGAGATTCACTTTTTTCGTCAACTTTAGAATCAGTAACAGTTGGCTCTTCTGCTTCTTTCGCCAATTTTCCTTTGGCTGGGTCGTGAGAAGTCGTGCCTCCAACTGTATCTTCAGTCGTAGCAGTGTTGCTACAGTCTGGTGATTGAATTGCAGCAGTCGCATTCCCTTGCAATGCATTTGAAAACGCCACCAAATCTGAAATTACGAATACATTTCAGTTGTCAATGTAAAACATGAATTTGAAAATAGATGTGAAAGTATAATTTACCATGCTTGAGCATAGGTGTAGATAGTCGTCTATCACAAAAATTAATTAGTAGTTAATATGACATTAAACTTCTTAGAAAAATAACTGGAATTCACAGAACTAAATCATCCCTAGACTTTGCATCAAGAATTTTTGACAGCAAACACTACTGATTATCTTTGATGTCATATTCAAGCCACTCGAACCGATGAAACTTCGTATTCTCAGACAAAATTCCTACCAGTTTGTTTGAATTTCCCGTCTTTTCTAAGTATTGTCACAGCGATCTTTATACTGATTAACCTGAAAAACATCTCGCGAAAATCGGCCTTTGATAAATCGACCTAAATTGCCAATCTGTTACCTGAACTAACAGATGTTATGTAACCCAACAGATAGCTGTTACCTTGATGTAGTTATCGGAGTATAGATCACAATGACATAACGAGTTACACTAGTGGGAGTATCCCGTACTTGAGGTCCCATCATAATACAAAAGACTGTTGAATGGTGGTAACACAAAAAGTGGTTATGGTCTTAAGCAAGTGTCCTGTGAACTCTGCGGTCACGCAGTACTATTACTGATACAATTTCGTTTTTATGCACGCCAAAAAGAAGAAAGCTCCAATGGTATGGACAGTCAGGAAGTGTCAATCGCTCTTACAACTCCATCATCACTCAAGTTTCCTTGGATCATTACTGACTTTCCGCATTCTTACCTTCTAATTTCTTCTCATATCTCTCAGTCAACACTATGATGTCATTTTTATTTGTTTCAGCTTTACAGCCCTTGATAATGGCTGCTGTTCAGGAAACAGCACTTCTGATCCCTTTAAACTGCGCTCCATTCCCGGTGTAGAAGCTTTCAATGTTCACACTCTCGGTTAAATCGGACAACGAACTTTGCTATCGTAAAATTTAGCTACTTGGGCCCTGGACACATACTCAGCTTGTGAGACACGAAATCAAGACACAAATGTAGTTTTCTACTAAACCTCACCCGATTAACTGGTGAATTGACAAAATCTGCTCTCTGAGTCTTTTGAGACAAAGCGGCTAATCCTTTCATTAGTACAGCTGTAGAATTCCGTTCTAAGGCAGAAAGTGCGCTATGCAACTGAATGCTGAAGCGGGAACAAAAGGGATAGCAAGCCTTTCAGTTAACTTTTCGTAATCTCTGCTTAGGCACCCAGTGACGGCAGTTCAAAAAAGTGAAAGATCAGCTAATATCAGAAAACCCTTCAAGCCCTATACTGAAAGCCAAACATACAGATGTGGTTGCCTCGGTGGGTGATTTCCATGCGCAATTGGATAGGCTAGATCAGATAGAAAAGCACTAAGATGACACTTTCAGAACCCCACAGCCAAACGAACAGATGACATTTATAGCCTGCTACAACTGCGCAAAGATAACCACCCATTTCTGGTCAGCAAGAACTTCAGACATAAAGAGACACTGTTTGACGTGGCGTCTAGCGATCTCAGCCAATTGGTGAAAACCAATGCCAAGTTATGGCTGGAGGACTGCCACTACTTTTGAAGTACATGCTTGGACAGTGTTGGTATGTTTGTTTGAGCAAACGTTTGTCTGCTCCCAAATGGATATAGAGTCAGTCAGCCAGTATCAACATGGGACTTGGCATTACTGCATAACGATCCAGGCTGCCACACCTCATATCAGCACATCCAAACGAGAATGCACCAAGATGACTGACTGGTCTGCGACAACTATTCCTAATCCGATAATGTTGCGCCATGAATGAAAAGACATTTTAAGTCCTATTTTATCATTTGCAAGCTACTTTTTAACGAAAGCCGCTGAAAAGAGATATTGAATATACTCAAACTGCCCAAACTAAGGTTTTGTCACCAACGGTTGTTGAGCATTCTTTCGTAGGCTCAAACTTGCTGCAGACCTTGATGCTACTTTTAAACCACTACCACTAACCAAACGGAACCGGTAAACCCTTGAAAATGAGAAATAAGTTTCAAGGAAATAAAACTGTTGCATCCATTACGGAAAACTAAGCATTTAGAAAACACTGAAGAGGAATCACTTGGATGTACGCCACTGAAGTTATTTCATGCACGTTAAGATGTCTTGTACATTTTGACGGCCAGGTGAATACGCTGTTCAAGGATTGGATAATATTTAAATATGAAGCATATCTCAAATACACTAAAATCGAATTGATGCCTGTTTCACTTATATACACAGGAGATAAACAAAGTGATGATTAAAACTTATATTAGACTTACCACCACGCCGTGAAGCCTCGTCTGCTTTTGAACCTAAATTGAACTGAGCTAAAACTGGAGCTAGTTCACCAGTTCGGAAAGCAGCTGAGAAGGACTATCAAATAAATCATAGACAAATGACACATGAGTGGTACGTAAATTCACCAAGTGATAAGATTTAAGCATGAAAGCGTAAAAACACAAAGCTATATATGCATCAGGCAGTGTGAATGAATCTATGTATTAAGGTAATTATTAGATGAAGAGGATGCTAGTGATACACGTTCATTCAGAAATATGATCCGACAGACCCTAGAATACACATGGAAGCATAGAAAGATGTGGAGCAGTGTCCCATCAGTTAACTTTAAATCAGTGGGCCAAGGGTTCAAGCCTAACTTCACTTTTGCACAATAAGTCTAGCCAATTACCCTGTTGCATAAACCTGCACTTGGTTGTTAGGTTACAATACGAAGGCAGAAATAATAAGCCGGTAGTGAATCCTTATTATCAAATGTTTCAACAATCCATGAAGATTCTACAAAGCGACCAAGTAATTAATCACATACCGTATTCAATTTATATTAGATCATTAAAGGTCAAAAACGGATAATCAGAAGATATCATGCCAATAGCGTTCAATGAAAATTGGGTAGAGGATATATTTTAGATGGTAGGTTGATTACTATGAGGGGTTATTTGATCACTTCGCGTAGACGTTTCTGCTAGCCCTCCATCGAAATGTGATACGAAATTGAAGCTGTCGTCGAGTATCAAAACGTGCTGTAGTTTGAAGTAGTAGTAAACTTCAGTTTGAAAACAGTAGTGAATGTATTACGTTTCCTGAACCTCAGTTAAAATATAGCGGTTTAACAATTGAAGTAAAACTGCTTGTGAAATTAATTAAAATACGGAAGTAAATTGTGAATTCTGCGAACATTTCTTGATTACTGACGTATATAATGTTGAGATGAACACAGTTATAAATGCGATTGACGTGGTTACTATGCAATTTCAAACGATCATTATTCAAATACAGACCGGTGTGCAGAGAATAACGAATTCAAAAAAAGGGGTTTCAAGCCTAGTCAAGAGAATTATAACAAACGATGGTTACCCTTCGTCTGGATTTGAGAACATATACATAACCACAGACAGATACACAAAACCAATGAGGACACTCGCAAACAAGTGCATCAGTCCGAATTGCCACACGTCACATAGTCAACAAGGCAGAGAATAAGTGCAAGAGAGGAAACTAAAAATTGAATGCTAGTCCAAACAACCCAGCGCCATTGCGACCGACTTTCAGCCATTTCATCAGGAGTCCACAAACAATGATTCCGAGCGTCTTGCGGACTTTGATCAGGTAGCTTACCTCCGCCAACAGGTTAAACCACCACTCAGAGACTTGACAGACTGGTGCCATGTCTTGGTCTGGTCAACCTAGACTTTTTCCAACATATCCTCACACTGGTCTGCAACCACACTTAGTCTAACTGTTGTGAGTGAAGTAGTGTAATGTGTCGACAATTTCACTTATTTCAAGAGTTGCATCAGACCGAACAGGCTGGTTGCTGTTAAAATCTCTGCTCAGACACAGAAGACTCATTTGGCATTTTTTTTAAATCAACGTAAACTGACTAGTGATCGTGAGCAGTGGTGGGTGGCGAAAGCAAGAGATGAAGAATGCATCAGGGTTGAGTAACACTCGGCAACTACTTAGGCTTATGAGGCAAGAAAACGATGGTGAGTGAAACTATCATTGAAAAATATAGAACGCTGATAATCTCCCAGGTCAGGCGGCTAGGACATTGAGAACACTTTGAAGCACAGTTCAACTGGACCCCACCAACACTTCAGCCAACCCGCATCAAACTCGAACTTGAATGGGAGGTAGATGTTAGTCCTCCAACTCCTCGAAGTTGAGAAGGCTGTGTTGGACTTGAAACGATGCAAAGCAGTAGAACGCGACAGTTCGCCACCTGACGTCTTCAAGGATAGACGTAGGAAATTGCTGATTAGAGTGACGAAAGTACTAGGTAGTATTTGGGAATCAGAGGTAGTGCCGCCAGACTGGTTCACTGCGTTGATAACCCAGCCTAGAAGAAGGCAGAGAAGTCTTCTTGTGACTAACAGGGGAATTAGTTTGACTAATAATGTGTCTAATATCTTACGGTCTATAGTTACGCGGCGCTTAACTGGAGCTCAAGAACATCAAACTCGATAAAACCAGGCAAAGGGTGCATTGACCATATTTCCACACTTCGACAAGTTCTTGAACACAGGCATATTTACCGGCCAGTGTGTGACACTTGGCGCACTTATCACCTAAAGGCGGCATTTGACTCAGTTGACTGTGAGGTATTGTGGCATTGTTTGACTGTAGAGGGAGTAAAGAGGAAGCATATAATGCTTATCAAAGCTCTCTACTCAACCTCATGCAGCCGTGTAAAGGCTTATGGAAAGTTGCCAAGTGAATCGACGATAACTAGTGGTGTCCGCCAGGGATATCTGCTGTCACCTTTCCTATTTAACTCTGTTATAGACGCACTACTGGATATAAACTTGGGTATGTCTGACTTCACAGGAATTGACTTACCCTCCGGAGGTCATCTGGTTGACCTGGAGTATGCAGACGACATTGTCCTGTTAGGTGAAGACACTGAAACATGCAGGATCTTTAGAACACACTAAGCAGAAATCCGAGTATGTTTGGCACCTGACAAATATAACATGATGCTCCAAAACTGATCTGCTGCAAGTACATCAAGTTTAATGACTGTGAGTGAAGTGGTGTAATGTGTCGACAATTTCACTTATTTCAAGAGTTGCATCAGACCGAACAGGCTGGTTGCTGATAAAATCTCTGCTCAGACACAGAAGACTCATTTGGCATTTGCAAACCTGCGCCATCTCACATCCACTAGCGAGATATCCAACCACCTACCTAGAAAACGACAAGTATACTCCGCTCCAGTTCGTTCTGTGCTGCTATACAGTCGTGAGATATGGCCATCGAAAGTAGAAGATATGTAGCGGTCTCGCGGTTTTGAACACACATGCCTCTGAGGAATGGCTCGCCTTTGGTGGAATCACCATGTGAGCAATGTATGAGGTAAGGTGAAGAGTGTTGGACAAGAAAGGCAAGTGGATTGATGAGGTTGTGAACCTTAGTCAACTGGTGGCTTCGAAATGTGCTGGGCATGCCGGGCCACTACCTTCATCAACATGCCATGTTAAGGGAAGTCGAAGTAGGTTGGGTGAGGGAACAGGGTGGTCAGACAGAGACGTGGAACCAGTTCATGAAGTCTCTGACTGTTGGTCTGAGTCGTCTGGAGAGACGTAGACTGCTTGGCTGGAATCGCCGAGACGACTGGAATCAGTGATTGAGGGTTCTTGGTGACATGGCTGGAAATCGATCACAATGGCTCAAGTGTATTCATTGTTTAGCGTCTTCTAAAGCCTGAATATTAGCACTAACCTGTATCTTCAGGTTGCTTATTTTCTCATACAACTTCGTCTACTCCGATATCACTCTCTTCCTATACACTTATTCTTCGTACACTGCTGTGAAGTGAGGCAACTTGAGCCGATGCACTTGTGTGTTTGAGGTTCCAAATTGATTTTGTCTTTGCTGTTGCACATCGAGGTAGGTGGTTGGTTGGTATGTACAAATGTCTAAGCAACCTTAATCCATGAAGATTTATACCTACAGACATTCAGTTGGAACCAAGTTTATTTACGTGAAGACAAAGTTTTGTGACAGTATCGGTCACCAAAGAGCGGCTAAGGTATGCTCTCATCCAGACTCCCGTGAAGACCTACCAGTTTTTAGTTGCTGATACTCGTTCAATTTCATCATGAGTTTATACTGCGTTCATACCTTAATATCTGTGACTTCAAATCGACTGGATTATCAGCTGGAAATCTGAGTATGTTCTATTATATTATGATGATAAGATGAAAGAAATGATCTACGGAATTAGTAATAAATATAAGAATTCAGAGGATACTTCAGTATTCTAATTTGTCGCCTAAAACTATTGGTAATTCCATGAATGGAACTAACTATTGAACTGAATTACATTATGGCCCTTGCCCTATAGATCATGCCTAATCGCCCTAACCAAAAGCATTTAAGAAATTTCGACAATTCTCAAGCATTCCATCAGGAATCTGTTTTTGTCAAACAATGATTGGATTAAGCGAAAATCCCCATAACTCCATCGAAATACAATTGAACTCGTGCTCATTGGTGACTAGCTTTGAGAGGTGATTCCTAAAGTTCCAATGAGAAGTCGTGACCAGTGGGGCTAGCCTGATGGTCATGAGGACAGTTACTTAACGATGACATTGGGTCGCGCTTGCGCTATGTTGTGAACTGACAGAAGTTGGAAATATGGACCATTGGATTCCGACCCAGTGGCTCAATTGTAACGTGCTGACCACGGAACCCGAAATTTGTGGGTTTGATCCCTGGCGGGGTCGTGGATGCGCACTGCTGAGGAGTCTCATACTAGGACGAAACAGCTGTCAAGTGCTCCCATGTTTTCACTATTCCTTCAACTGGTGTCAGTCTACGATGGATACTTGAAATACTTGAAAATATTTCTAAATCCCCACAAGTCCCTCGAAATACAAATAAACGAAAATCATTTGAATTCATCAATCAGTCAACGATATGATAAAACTAAAACAAGCAGACCTTACTTTTAAAGTGGCTTTGAACTGAGATGACTGTATGTTTGTAGTCAGATTTTCCAGGTCATTTGTACATGAGGATTCTGGATCCAAAGGAGGAAGGTGAGGTAGTAATCTTTCTCGAATCTCTGGTTTGTTCAAAAGGCTGTGCAAACTTTCCATGTTCAAAACATCACTTAATTCAACCTTCGCATCATTCGCTGTAATAGACAAAGATATTGTTGATATTCATATATCAGATTTACTTAGTAAGGCATGTTTACTACATCATTATTTACCTAAAAACAAATACGCGAAATCTGGTGTACATAATATATCCTCAATGTATTCTTTGAATATCAGTTGACTGTAATTATTTCCGAAACCCAGTTACAATGAAAATACTATTAGTGTTTCATGATGACTAGATTGATTTGAATTAGTAAGCGCACAACCGAAGGAAGGAAGTTCGTCGAATCGTGGTAAATAAGCATTGATGATCTTGTATTCATCTTGGAATCCAGGACGCGCTTTGGCGCTGGGTGCTGAGTCTCAGTGGGAACAACATCACTCACTAGAGGGCAGGTACATCCAGTTGAAGAGTCTCGGATGGGAAGAAAGGCGCGTCCTGCACTCCACTACAAGTCATCAAGATGAGTACAACATAAGGAGCATACAGCAGTATCGAGGCGTCTACAAAGGAGCCCATCTGCCAACAGAAAGTTGAGTAACAGGAAATTACAAGTATCATAGCAACAAGTACAGGTGATGTTTGATAGTCTGATGCAACCGAATAATACTACTGTATTATGGGATTCCTAAATACTAATGGGTTACGAATTAGGAAATGCCGTGACACGCTCATAACACTTCGTCACACATCGATATATAGTGATTACTGAAATATTGCTCCCAAACTACTGGAAGAGAAAGATATGTTGCTCCGGGAAAAGGTGCAAACTAGCAATAACTGCCGAGTTAATTTGGAACAAAATTTCTTAAACACTGGTTAATAAGTGAACTACGAATGAAATATCAATAACACAACCGTTAGAAAAAGGTTAGTAATCAATCGATCAATAGTGAATGACATTAACCTTTGGTCACAATTGTGGACGAATATTCAGACCATATTTTACATGGAGGACAGCTGTTTTTCTGTCCGTTAATGTTAGACATCACATTTTGAACATACATTAATTTTTATCAGGAGTTTTTCTTAATTCTTAGTCCTCAGATTCTTATACTTGAAGAAATCCACTCAGCTACCTTGTTTACGTTCGTGCGGTAGGCAATGAGTCTTACCTATTGTGTGAGGACTGTTGAGATGATGCCACCTGGCTGCTCAAACCTCGGTAGGTGGAGCGATGTTCAAACCCGTGAACCTGTGGTTGAAAGCCAACTCCAAGAACAGGAGTTGAGAAAACGACTTTACACTCGAAAAAACATTTTAAAATAGTTGAGAACGAAACTACACAACGTAATAGACTGCTAGAAACTACATGTTACGTACATAACGTATGTGTAAGTTTTCAAGAAATCGACTTCTAAATAGTGAGTCCCGGGTAGGAATCCCACTTCGTCCTTTGTTCTTCGCAGGTACATGTGTAAGCAGTGGGTCATGTTGTTGTACGAATTCTGACAATAGCACCTAAGTGATCGAATCGCAATAAGCCAAGTGAGGTTTGTACCTGTGATCAACTGTAGCTTAACCAGTGACTCGCGCTTCTCTGCGTAGCCTAGTGTATAAGTTTGTGTAGAGTAGTTGAACCACATTTATAATTTTGTTAGATTTTCCCAAATGGATGGTTGAAAAGATACTCGAACCCTTGGCGAAGAATGACATGGGTACAGATTTCAAAAAAGCTTATGGTTAAGAGATAAGTGAATAAATTGGATTTCCCTAAACAAAAACTTGCCAATCTAACACGAATTTATTGGTAAGATTGCATAAAAGTTCTATTTGTTTCGTCATTGTTGAAAATGAAATTGTTACTTACATGGATTTAGTATCCCAGTAGAAATCGACGAGAGAATATTTCGTAAGTCTTGAAGTTGTATTTTGCCGGTTTCAGGCCGTTTATCAGTTGTTGTCTTCAAAGATGGAAAAATGAAAAAAATAGTAGATGAAGGTGTTGGTGCTAAGAACTAAATGAAAACAGTCATGAAATCTAAACTGCTTACCTACTGTATACTGAAGTATTTTGCTGTTGGAACTTCTAAAAACTAAACACCTTTGTGTCAATGTGTTACAAAAATTCCTGATGCACAAAGTTTCCGACTGCGGTCTGAGCCGGGTAGGTAACCTCGGTGTTCTCGAGATTTCGGGAATAAATACCACTAGTGATCACAGTTATAATCGGTTAGTGACTTACATGTACTTACTATTCAATACTCTTGAATATTTTTACAAACGTTTGATTATGTCTTCACCCCTTCCCTCCACAAGATTTTTCTGAGTCTACTTTTTTTAATCCTGCTTAAAAATGTAGTTACTTGAAATAATGCACCTTTATGAGAATTTTTATGCCCGCCTTTCAAATTAAACACTTGAACGTTGTCATTATGAATATGACGTATTTTGAATGCCATCTTTTAAGACCGTGTGCATGTTGCCGATTATATTGGTAGGTTGTTTATGAAGTTTCCTAATGTCGGTTGATTTTCAAAAACGATGTGTATGTTAGAATCAGATTTTTGATTCGTGATTTATCGAATTGTTTACAGCATATTCTGCTTTGTATGAAAAAGGATACTCTTTTCTTCGATATAGTACTCTGACTGCTGCTTCAAAATGTCAAGTAAACTGAGTAACGCTGCTTGTGACTTCGAACAACGTAAGGCTAATAAACACTGTGTCTCTGCGAATTCCTTATAACTATTCGATACTCTGATTTATTATTCTAGAGAATAGTAAGTAGAATGGTATGCAGAAGTTAGTGGTGATGATGTCTATAAAAACAATAAAGGGCTTTACGACCAAACCATTTAGCTCACAGAACGCAACACCATATGTCTGCGTAAATCGCTTACGCTAAAAAGCAAACAGGTTTTCCGTAAGGACCATGAATCCTGTCAATTTGCATTTGATCTGAGATTTCGTTAGAAATCAACTCAACTGGGCTGAAGCATCTTTTGCAGTGAGTGAAGTAATCAACCTACTCCGCCACTTTACTTTGTATCTTTAAATAAGTTGGCGCAAACCAGTCCTGAAGCGTTATCTGAAATTTGACGGGTGGAAAAGATATGTCAGACATCCTCAGATCTCTGCTGGGGGTGTTCAGAGGACTGTATTTTGCTGTCGTCCACAACAAACAAGACTATGCTATCGGAAAAATCGAAGGTCGCTCAGCAACTAAGTGCACGCTCGTGCATTAGGCAATGAGCCACACCTTTTGCGACAGCGCCTAGCAGCCTAGACCTTAGTAGATGGAACAAAGTTCGAACCCGCAACCCATCGGTTGGATATCCCGTACTTGGATCATTGAATTATAGCTATCTGGGTACTACAAGTCGCCCATGTGCTTTCGACAAACTACTTCATTCCTTGAAAAATCAGACGAACGTGGATTTATACTCATTACCATCTCTGTGACAAAGTGAAACAAGAATGCTGGTAATATGTATCGTTGGTCGATACGATTAACTGCCACTAATTAAGATGACAGTTCTCTATAAATCCTTATGTGGCTGAATGTGTTCGAACGGATAAGTACCACAAACTTGCTCGATACTTCAACATCTCTCAAATAAAGTAGCTGAATTTTGCCTTCATACCTAGAATTAAAGAGAGTATCGGGCATCGGCAAGTTTGCTTGTGTTTCATAACCTGTCGAAGGGTGATCTGATCAACGCACCCTCGTACATGTCTGAAACTAACCTGTTTCTTTTCAGATGGTTGTTCTCCAGCTTCGGTTAGGTATCGGATAACTATGAACTTTCGTCTTTCTTGCACGCCAGAATGATCAACGATCTAGACCAGTTTGTGACTACGTTTGAGTCGCAAACACTAGGTAGTACCTCAGTTGCTCTACTCAATAATATTTTACCTCCATCCTTAAAAATCGCTGGTGGTAAACCAGAAATTCCTGTTGCTTTGCATTGTTTCAAGTTTGAAGCAGCCTTCTCAACTTAGGCGAGAGTGGAACTACCAATATCGAAAACCTTTTAAAGCTCAAACAGGATACTGAGCAATTGACGTGTGGTTGTAAGTTAATTGAACTGCTTTTGAGGGTGTTTCGCTTATCCTGAAAGGTTGTCAGAAACTTCTGCCTTTCGATGACAACCTTCTTCGTGGTAGTTTGCTTAATGAACTTAAATAACTGCCAAGCATCACGAAGTGTCGATACTGTCTACATCACTTTCACCACTCAGCAATCCCCGCAATCATTTCAAAGACGCAGTCAATTTACATTTAATCTGTTCTTGCTTCTCATCGTGATTGCAATCAGTCAGAATAAGTTCGCAGAAATTCTTTGGCTTTTACGAACATTCGAATGCATTGTACCGCATTTTCTGTTGACTTGGCACAAAACAAACTTGGCAAACAAAAAATTTGGCAACTGTAGGAAGACAGTTATAATACAGAAAGAGGAAAGCACTAGCGGACACAGGCACAGAAGCTCTTTGTTCAAGGGGCAGTATTCAAGATACACCCCAAGAAACACGAACTAATTTCCCTTCAGTAATAGAAGGAACATTTAAGCTGCAACATGATAGCCACTGGTTTCGGTTCTGAGCCTTGTCTGCTATCGTCTGCAGCCAGAGAGTTTCAAGTATCTTTGACCCTCTCCAGGGAGTCAGGATGTACTTACAGGTCTTTATCGAACTCAATTATTCTCCATGTTATTGCACCACCTCATACACTAGCTTTCACGCTTCCTCCGACCAATATCAAGTTTAGCAAGCTGGATAGTATGGGAGCCGGTGGGACAACATTTGTAACACTTGCTCAAGTCACGACTTTACTTGGTAGATGATATTTGCCATTACGCCTAAACAACCAACCGCAGTACATCACTGCAAACGAGAAATCCTTCTCAGACAATGATGGTCGCACGAATTAAGTCGTCAGACGTCCTCAGAAAGAACCAGATTTCACTTGCGTAGAGTAAAATTGTCGAAACAGACGCACTATACGCTTTATCTTCTACAACCAGATAACCTTCACAATAACACTAGGGGTGACCAAAATTAGGGTTTGTTGTTCTGGTTTTTGACATACAGCTGGAAATCTTTTTATGTCACAGTTCCACCAGCACACCAGAATTACCCAGATGCATGGACACTTCAACTTTTTCCAGCGGTTTATCAGGAATGGGGAATGCAGATATAACTACGGTAAATTAAATCAAGCTACACTGCATTCTGACAGCACAAAGCAAGTAGGAAACTTAGGGGTACTAAATGTCAACTGATTGAATGGGATTTAAGTAGCCTGGATGTTGTGACCCAATTATAGTTGATATCACTCTGGTATCAAGGCGGTAACATATGAACTTTACAATGACTGTTAAATACGTTAAGCCTACACACTAAAGAGATCAGAACAACAACCGAATTCAAGAGTGGAAGAACATTCTAACCCCACAATACTTTCCTGAGTAATCCAGTCAATCTTTGACTGAAATCTCGCATCAGTCTTCAAAGCGAGTCATGTATGAACTTCCTAGGTTGGGTGCCTTGTGATGCTTACGTACTAGGTGCTTTTTCTAGGCCTCAGCTTCGTTATGTGGGGCATAGTTAACTCAATATTGAATGAAGGAAACTGGTTGAAGTGGTTAGAGAAGTACACTACTGCAATTACTTTTCGAATTGCTCTACTGAACATCCCAAGGGTCTATAAAGACAACTGCTGCTCTAATATACAGCTCCTAACTTCACACGATGGGTCTGGTTTGGACACTGAAATGACTCTTGAAGACTACCTGCCACACTGCAGCCGATCGTCTACACGCTTCCAGCAGTATACAAAAACGAAACAACCATGACCTACCTCTCTCGGCTTTATCTCATGCTTTGCCAGATAAAACGATATTGGGTCTGTTAAAACTTCCTCAACTTCTCACCCTGCAGCTACTGCTAACGATTCAAGCTAGGAAAACACTATTCCTAGTCTTCTAAAGTTGCGTTATCAATTACACAAAACAAAACGTTCAGATATAGCCGTTGTAACAAACAACTTCAATTTGAACGTATTCTGACAAACAATGGACTGGATTGTTTGAAAAAACCTGTGGACTGAGTTAGTATGACTCATCGTAAAAGGTGTATTATTACTTGTATAATTTCGCCGTAGTGTATTAGAACAAATAACAAATATTTTGTATGATTCCTTTTGTACAGAAACTTGAATATTAACCTCAAAACTTTGTCAGATTCATACTCTTGAAAAGAATTTTCCTAGAAGGGCCGAAGCGTTGAGGAATAATACAAAATATTTGTTTATTTTGTTACTTGTTCTAATATACTACGCCGAGATTACACAAGTAATAATACACTTTTTACGATGAAACAACTTCAATGCTTAAGTAGCAAACAGAAATTAATCGGAAAGACATTTTAGGAGTGTTTACGGAATTCCAAGCTGACGAACTGACAACGGTGTTCGTCTGATACAACTTCGTTGTGATAGTTACTTGTTTCTGATCAGCACTAACTTCAAACATAAGAGGAGACAGTCTCTTGGTGTCCAGTGACATCAAGTCATCACAGAACACAGATAGGTCATATCGTCATAAACCATCGTTGGACGATTACCGACAATTTTGGAGTATTCGCTTGCATTAGTAGGAGTAGTGTGCAGTTGCATCTGAATTGACGCAGGAAACATTCGACGGTAAAGCCTCTGAGTCTGGCTGTAAAATGAGAACAGCATGTAAGTATTTAGAGGGCGAAAACTAGACATTTATCTGAAGATAGCAACAATTCTCTTTTTGAAACCTAGTATAACGTTTAATCTGTAGTAGAAACAACGGCAAAGAAAACTAGTGACCTACAATGAAAGGTTAGCAAAAGCTAATGAGTTTCCGCAATCTCACCCGGGTATCTTGATGTAAGATACCTCATGCTGACTGACTGTGAACACGATGAGAACAGATTAAATGCAAATTGACTGCGTCTTTGAAATGATTGAGAGTATTAATAAGTGATGAGAGCGATGTAGACATCATCGACACTACGTAAGGCTTGGTAACTATTTAGGTTCACTAAGGAAACTAGCATAATACAATATATAGGCACCAGTTGTTGTTCTGGAATGCATGTAGTTTACTCTTCCTCTGACTTATCCCATGGCGTTAAATGTACTAGTGAAGGTATTCTGGTTTGTGTCAACTACTCTATAGACTATGCCACTAGCATCCAGACCTGTATTATCATCAAACAAAGCAGTATTCAAGTTCGATAGGAAACTTACATTTGAGTGTGGAGCGTTACTGCCAACGGATGGGGCTACTGAAGATGGTGTTACAGTAGCAGTTCCAACGAGCGGTGTAACAGATTCATCTAAGTGTCCTGTATTCAAATGACGTCCAATAGTCACAGCAGTTGCTTGGGCAGAAGATCTGAAAAAGCACAGGTGACACAATATCTAAGCGAAGCTTATAATAACTAGATCAAAAATTAGTACGGATAAACAGCTGCGATCTCAAGAGAAAGACATGCCAAATTACCCTAAATAACTCAACCGGTGTTGACTAATCCCACCAAGGGCAGTTAAAATCGAATTTAGATGGAAAGTTGTGTTATGAAATGTTAAAAGTATCGTCACAAGTAATAATACACCTTTTACAATTAAACAACTTTAATGCTTAAGTAGGGAACAGAAATCAATCGAAGATATCTTAGGAGTGTCTATGGAATTCTATGCTGACGAACTGACAACGGTGTTCGTCTCATACAACTTACATGAGTGTGCTGCTCAAATGTTCTCAATTTTTAACGGGATTGAGGAGAAGCAAGTTAAATTAGTTGTGATATATAAGCTCATTGAGGTGATTATATTATGCTGACCCGTTTAGCTGCCGTAATGGCTTTTAAATGACCGAAAGTCTTCAGAATTTGTACGCGTTTTCATAGATAGATCAATGAAATCCGAGGAATAATTAACAGGACTAGGGAAGATAAGTGAAAGTACGTAGACCCCTGATATATCCGAATGATACTATTGTGGACGACAATCCTCTGAAGTATTGTTTATGCACTTCAGTTTCTTACCCTCCCTACTTTTCAATGTAGGAAAAATACGCATCATAACATCAAAAAACAAGTAAATTAGCAAACAGACTTCCGGCAACTTCACTAATGAAACTATATAACCGAAAAAATATATAAACCTTTAGGTAAGCATTCCTATAGTTTTAGATGGTCACCGCAGTTATCTGGGCATAATAACCAGTAAAATTATGCTATAAATAACAAAAATAAATCAGAATGCTATAGAAGTTACACTAAGACTATTTAGATATGTTGTTGTGTGACACAACGAGATCAAACATGGTCAAAAAGTGCACGGGAACAAAAGTGAATAAAACTTGCATACGAAGTAGACGGAAACAGAAACACTTCTGACAGACCCATAATCACCTCTTTGCAACTATGTCACATAATGCTCCCGGATTCGCCCGGATAAAATTCGCATCGAAAGACACTCTGCTCTACAAGAGCAGGTGAACCACTATTTGCGTATAGGACTGGTCAGATGAGATAGTTCTTCGAGTTGTTAGGAAACAATGGGTGATGTATTAATACTAGTCTCAAGGTTGATGCAGAGAATGTTCTCCTAAGAAGTTTAGTCACCTTTTTTCTAAGTATCAGCTGGTGGGTCACCTTTGAAGTCTAGACTAATGCAGGCAATCATCCGGTGGAGAGGCAAGTAGTCTTCATGCAACTTCTATGACATTTTGATTTACCTTCACCATTTATAACACTTTTAATATTGTAATTCTGCTTGTTACTATACCCAAAAAACTACTGTGGCAATCTATCATACTGGGATTGCTCACTAAAAAGTTTGGATTTATTTGAGATTGTACATTTTCATAAATGAAGTTGTTTAAAGTCTGTTTTTTACCCCCCCTCCACAAAACCGTACTTTAAAGCAGTGTCATGCACGCCGAGTACCCATACTAGGTTTGACCGTTTGAAACGTCAATCCTATGTAGCTGCATCTGTATGCATAACACCTAGGCCACTTAGAAATCCTATAAATCTATTCACCTCCGTAGATGTTAAATCCATGAACTGTAGACGCAAGACTTGTCTCAGAAGCACAGGGTTTCACTGCTTTCGTTCGAACACAACTGCGTAAAAACGTTTGAGAGGTGACTTTGATCCTGACAAACAAGTTCCTTCAGAGTAATCGGAACGCAACACATACCAGCTCTTTCTATAGATTGGAAAACAGCCGTCAACAGATGCAACATGACAGTGGCATTGAATGTTTCCACCATATAAACGATACCTCGAGTCACTAATTCGTTGTCAGGCAAAAGTGATCAAGTGAACCGGAATGAAATTGCTATTTTAGTATGTCAGTGCTATTTATAGCTAGTGATTTGAGTAATCAACGCCCGTTGACTATGATTGGTTGTTTAAACTCATTCGGTAAGCCGTTCGCTCAAGGTTGCTACTCTTTACCTTGGTGAAAAAAAATCAAAAGTAAATTCATTGAGGTTAGTTTTACAACTGACCTACCTATCTCACCACACGTCAGAATTTCAAAGTTGAGCCCAGTAACGTATTTGTAGAGGGAATGAACCAAACCACTGACTACGATTTTGCTTATATTTGGATTAGTAGAATAATGCAGAAATGTTGCGCGTGGTTTGCGTAAACTGGTCCTAGTCACTGAATCTCTCAATTCATGAGTAGTGATATCCTTACTATTACGAAGGATACAGCAGTCCAGTTGATGTTTCCTGAGTTTTCTCAAATTTTACTTTGAAGAAACATATTTCAAATGAAGATATGGTCACATAATCCACTATTTTTGGCTACTTAAAATATCAACAATGATCTTATGAGACTTCATAAACTTGTGGACATTCCATAACTGTAGTGAGACCACTTACTAGCTGCATTTAATTCAGGACAGGTACTGGCTGAAATGGTTGGAGGGATGCTGGAAATAGAACTGAATATTCATGTGCAATTTTCCCAGAAAACGAGGCAGGATGATTAGACAAAGATCTGTCCTTAATCTATGAAACAAGACTTAGACCAGATTGTGACACAGTGTATCTATTAGGGTCACTCTGAATTTAATACGGCGTTACAGGTTACTGACTTAGAGAGTGTTAGACATTAAGTTTTAGGGATAATATACTCCAGAAATTTCTAATGATATAAATGGTCAGACCCTGAAAGCAATGCCTACAGTCGTATCAAAACACAGTACCTTATGGGTTTATACACATGGGAATGAATTATGACACATTAATGTAAGGGTAAAACTTGGACAATGGGGTAAAGCATAGCTCTTGGATTACTGTGATCATACAAGTCTGACCACCACGTGAAGGTAGCAGCTACTGGCCAGGTTTAAACACTACTTTTGTTTAAGTGGGACATAATTAATCTCGTATTAAATTGTATCTTTGATACGGCAAACATTGATACAGTATTATTTACAGGATGAAGTTTTAAGTAAAATTTGTGGCTCATATTGGTATCAGAGTAATCATACGACTTTCAAGCTCCCTTAACACAGTTTTTCATTCATTTATTTTATTAGATTCCCGCGACGTCATCCGAACTGACATGCGAAAAAACTGACTGAAGCTGGCTCTCAGCCCAGTGAAGAGCGAAAGAAATTTAAATCAACGTAAACTGACTAGTGATCGTGAGCAGTGGTGGGTGGCGAAAGCAAGAGATGAAGAATGCATCAGGGTTGAGTAACACTCGGCAACTACTTAGGCTTATGAGGCAAGAAAACGATGGTGAGTGAAACTATCATTGAAAAATATAGAACGCTGATAATCTCCCAGGTCAGGCGGCTAGGACATTGAGAACACTTTGAAGCACAGTTCAACTGGACCCCACCAACACTTCAGCCAACCCGCATCAAACTCGAACTTGAATGGGAGGTAGATGTTAGTCCTCCAACTCCTCGAAGTTGAGAAGGCTGTGTTGGACTTGAAACGATGCAAAGCAGTAGGACGCGACAGTTCGCCACCTGACGTCTTCAAGGATAGACGTAGGAAATTGCTGATTAGAGTGACGAAAGTACTAGGTAGTATTTGGGAATCAGAGGTAGTGCCGCCAGACTGGTTCACTGCGTTGATAACCCAGCCTAGAAGAAGGCAGAGAAGTCTTCTTGTGACTAACAGGGGAATTAGTTTGACTAATAATGTGTCTAATATCTTACGGTCTATAGTTACGCGGCGCTTAACTGGAGCTCAAGAACATCAAACTCGATAAAACCAGGCAAAGGGTGCATTGACCATATTTCCACACTTCGACAAGTTCTTGAACACAGGCATATTTACCGGCCAGTGTGTGACACTTGGCGCACTTATCACCTAAAGGCGGCATTTGACTCAGTTGACTGTGAGGTATTGTGGCATTGTTTGACTGTAGAGGGAGTAAAGAGGAAGCATATAATGCTTATCAAAGCTCTCTACTCAACCTCATGCAGCCGTGTAAAGGCTTATGGAAAGTTGCCAAGTGAATCGACGATAACTAGTGGTGTCCGCCAGGGATATCTGCTGTCACCTTTCCTATTTAACTCTGTTATAGACGCACTACTGGATATAAACTTGGGTATGTCTGACTTCACAGGAATTGACTTACCCTCCGGAGGTCATCTGGTTGACCTGGAGTATGCAGACGACATTGTCCTGTTAGGTGAAGACACTGAAACATGCAGGATCTTTAGAACACACTAAGCAGAAATCCGAGTATGTTTGGCACCTGACAAATATAACATGATGCTCCAAAACTGATCTGCTGCAAGTACATCAAGTTTAATGACTGTGAGTGAAGTGGTGTAATGTGTCGACAATTTCACTTATTTCAAGAGTTGCATCAGACCGAACAGGCTGGTTGCTGATAAAATCTCTGCTCAGACACAGAAGACTCATTTGGCATTTGCAAACCTGCGCCATCTCACATCCACTAGCGAGATATCCAACCACCTACCTAGAAAACGACAAGTATACTCCGCTCCAGTTCGTTCTGTGCTGCTATACAGTCGTGAGATATGGCCATCGAAAGTAGAAGATATGTAGCGGTCTCGCGGTTTTGAACACACATGCCTCTGAGGAATGGCTCGCCTTTGGTGGAATCACCATGTGAGCAATGTATGAGGTAAGGTGAAGAGTGTTGGACAAGAAAGGCAAGTGGATTGATGAGGTTGTGAACCTTAGTCAACTGGTGGCTTCGAAATGTGCTGGGCATGCCGGGCCACTACCTTCATCAACATGCCATGTTAAGGGAAGTCGAAGTAGGTTGGGTGAGGGAACAGGGTGGTCAGACAGAGACGTGGAACCAGTTCATGAAGTCTCTGACTGTTGGTCTGAGTCGTCTGGAGAGACGTAGACTGCTTGGCTGGAATCGCCGAGACGACTGGAATCAGTGATTGAGGGTTCTTGGTGACATGGCTGGAAATCGATCACAATGGCTCAAGTGTATTCATTGTTTAGCGTCTTCTAAAGCCTGAATATTAGCACTAACCTGTATCTTCAGGTTGCTTATTTTCTCATACAACTTCGTCTACTCCGATATCACTCTCTTCCTATACACTTATTCTTCGTACACTGCTGTGAAGTGAGGCAACTTGAGCCGATGCACTTGTGTGTTTGAGGTTCCAAGTCGACTTTGTCAGTCAGTCAGGATCCAAAACAGGTTACTGAATACATGCTTTTGACTGGGCGCCTCTGCCAAGTCGACTTGCAGGTTTATATACAGGTGTGTCAGTCAGTATCAGCGATGGTGCTCACTAGGGTTTAAACACATAAGATAGTAACATTTGTAACTGGTCTGATAGCAATTCTTACTTCTTAGTCGGTCACACACGTGTTGCAGGAGTAGGTTATGAGAAATGCCTTGGTTGCCTAAATCAGTAAAGGCTTATAGGTGATATATACAACCTAAATGCTACTCATCTAACAGCATACTTTAGTTTCTTAGTTGTGGCCCGTCAGTGGAACAGTGATCTAGCACTGCACGATTACGGACACTGATGAAGGCATGCTTACCAATTATTTGGGTAGCCAAGACGTGAGACACAAAACAGTATTTTACTGAAGTGAAGTCTAATCCTCAATTTTGGCTTGAAAACTGCAGGAAATGCAATGGAGAATGCATGAATACTTTCGGACCCTTACATTTCTCCTAACGTAACCACATAAAAAATCCAGCCAGAAATACACTTATTAGTTAATCTCGAAGTAAAGACCATTATGTCTTCAACAAACAGAGGAAATGATGAAAATGACAATGGAAAACCAAACGGAGAAACCACACTGCAGTCTACTAAAAAATTCTGCACTTACACATCAGATTCCGAAGACAACCCACTTCCAAGACCAACACCCATAGCTAAACAAAACTTAATTATAATGACAATTGGTATTTACATAACAACGCCAGCAGATCATTCTGAGAAAGCTGATTCAATCCTTCAAAACGACTAAGCCAATCATCTAGGGATTCATTAATATTTAGTCCGTACATACTTGGTAAAGCTGTGTTCTGGGCGGGTGGGGATTTAATGTAGTCGTTTATCCGTGTGCATATATCACTATCATTTTTGCCATTAGGTTCCTCAAGAAATAGTGTAATAAGTCCAGCTTACTTGCATCCAAATGAAAAAATGTTTGGGGCCTTTGAACTTTAGAAGGTAGACTCTTCCTGTTGTACACTGAGGGATTTTTTTAAATTCGGCTTGCTTCGCATGAAGTATAAAATTCTAATATGAAGTTTTAGGGAGTAACAAAAGCACTTACATCTTCGACAAGACATGTTTTTCGGTCGATCCAACAAAAATGCAGCTTTCCATCTCCTGACTGGTATACATATACCCACCCTTTACGAGGGTCTGCATGAACCCAATTATCGTCTCCTATCGTCATTTTTCCCGCCTTAAATTGCAGTAAATGTCTCGTCTGGGACTGCTGAGGCCTTGCAAATAGAGCACTCCTGTTCGACATGGCTGGAAGTTAACGTACAAATGTAAGCGGGCCCTTCAAGGACACCTGCTCCAGTTAAACATAACAAAGTTTGATACTCACCGAACCAAATAATGTACTCTCTCTGACCTGTTCCGGGTAGTTCTTTGATGCTGAGGAGTCATCTATAAGCTTTTTCATTAACAATGGTTCAAATAGCTGCTGATGGCAATGCAGGAGCTTTCTCTTAGCTGGATTCGGGGTCTAGAATCGGTAGGTCACTTCTTACTGTAGCTGTTAACCTGCTTGAAAGTGAAGAGAGAGAAAAATTGGGGGCTAAAATGTTAAAAATTTGTTAATTCTGGGAAAATTCCCACACATACCTTAAGTACGTTTCAAATCAGCGTGTCAAAGATTCAAAGGAAGTAGTATGGACCAATTCTGCAGAAAGTACGTTTCAGTATTCAGCAACCCTCATATAGTAGAAGTTGTACCTAATACCTTATTTTTCTGGGTGCCCTGTAAGACTGGTGTTATGATTAAGATTCAGTAAGTGATGGGGTAGGTGTCCAGAAGTTATTAAGATATTTTGAGCCATTGTCAAGTGTGTTCACAGTCCTCTGGGTCCGATAAGATATACATCAAGCTCGAGCAGTCGTTCTTCATACATCTTGGGCCTGATTCGTGGCAAAAATTTGGTCGAACACTTTTGGGTGCGTTCTGCGCCTGATTTGTATGTCTATAAGGAAGGGGGGTAATAGTTACGAACTCCAGTTGAGGCCATATGAAGCTCGTGAAAACACCTTCTGGTGAACCGTCCAAAAATTTGTCTCGGGGTTACCAAGGCCAAGTTTCCATGGAGTGCATCTCTGTCACTGTTCTGTAACAAATCCTACCCCACCCATGGCCCTACCATTTACATGCACCCAAGACGTTTTGCATAATGTACATTGAGTCTCAGATCTGCGACCTTGCATTTTCCAGCGCCGAATACAAGCCTGCTCTTGATTTTTCACTTGTGGAACAGGGTTACATATTTCTGTACGAAAGCACTATCTTCCTGACTTCTAAATTCTTCAGATGGTTTTACGTCATCGGTTAGGAGGAGGATTTCAAAAGATGGCCACGTAGATATGAGGACACCCAATCAATGAGTAGTGGTTTGACCCCGACTAATTTTAGTTGATCAACAAGACGGCTGTGAGTAACACCGTCAAACACTTTAGGAAAGTCTGGATAAACGATGACAGTTAGAAACAACCCTAACTTGACACCGTTGGCTATCAGCCCTCAATGCCGTTGCCCACGTGTTACCTGCATGTTTAAATAGTCTGTATGTGTTCGCTACCATTCCTTGGATGGTCGGTCCAGTGGTTTCTTTTCAACCCAAGCAGTTTATGAGTAGAATTGCTCACTACCACAGGCAACTTGGAGCACTGGCGATGAAAACGGAAACAGACTGGGTGATGGCATGGAGGATTTCGTCAGGAGTGAGTATGAAATGAGTATTCACGTCTTGCCATACATGGTCAAATTCCCGATCCCTCTGTTCCAGTGACGGCTGAAGAGGTCGAGTGTCAGTCACCAAAAGTTCCAACTACACTAGCTTGGTTTTGTAGACATGATGATGGCGGAAAACGACGTGGCCACCCCTGCCCATGAGGGAGCCGAAAAGTTATCAATCAATAATTCTTCGCTTGTGAAAATGCAGTTTAAGCTAGACTGAGTCTGCGTTTCTCTTCACTACCTCAGCTATCCCGGGTCCTTTGTAAGCCCCAGTTATCCAACCAGGTTGCAGGATTGGCCTCGAATGGAGTCATCACTCTCGCCAAACAAGTGATCTGCAAAGTTAACCTTAAAAAAGCTAGGACCTCCCAGAGTTAGAATGCATGTGCCCCAGTTTAAAAAAGTAACCAATTGCCTCCAGCACTTTATCGTATTGTTGTACATTGGCGGATGGCTCCCCACACATGACGCTCGCTAAGCACTTGGTAGTCCTGGACAGCTTTATAAGGCAACATGAATGCGATATCAAAGGGTCTGCAAATATGTGCAGGGACGAATAACTCCTCGAAATCAGTGGCTCAGGGTTTAAAGAAACTTAACGTTGATCCTGGCCTATACGGTTATGAAGGACTAGATAAAATGAAAAAGCATAGCCAAGAAGCTACGCCGTTTGGCGTTTCCTCAGTGTCAGTTGGCCGAGACACATCCATGTTTCGCGCGGTTTATTGAACGCACCATTCCTATCTGACTGTGCTTTTGTATTCCTTCTTGGTTTGGCACTCTTGGGTATTCTACATGCACAAATGATCAATGATTGGCCCATCCGTCTGTCGGGTTTGGTTGGTGAAAATTTCTAAATGATGAACAGACATCCACCTTGGGGTCCCAAAAGATTGCTCGTCACAGATGATGGGCTGAAGATGCAAAAAATTTATTCCGAAACTTTCTTCTACTGGACTGCTTTCCGGTGTTACTTCGACCAGGACTTTCCGGCTTGCTCGATGGGAGTTAAGAGCGTTCCACTGGTTTGCAACAATGAAAGAGCAATAGCGTTAAATAACCTCCCAGGACCAGTAGACCTGGGTTCGGTCGTGTTCAACGTTGATGCTTATTGGGCCGAAGGTACACGACTTAGGATCCGGGCCAACCCACACGTTGTTGTGTTACGCTTCGCCCCTCGTTCACAGACAAGATTATGCTACACTGCATAAAATGGGATTGGTGAAAACTTCAGGCGGCGAACTCCTCATGCAAGTGCCAGAAGTAATCGGCCAATGAACCTTCGAAGATGGCCCCTACTACCCTCTTCCTTTAAAACTACCTCTGTCGGTGCAGACGATGGTTTAAATAGTGCAATCCATTGCTTTTCAATTTGCTGGATCTGCTTAAATACCTTCTGGGCCTGCTTCCAACTTCTCCGTCACCAAAGGCAAATTGTAGCGTTTGGAATCCGGCTGGACAGATCTCTGCAGCTCTGTTAAACAGTTTCTGCTATCTCGTAACCCTAGATCATGGCATACGGTGAAACACTCTAGTGTTCCAGCCCTCCCCCACAGATCACGTGGTTGGCTAGTGGCACAAGAGGCCTTAAGCGGTGTCATTTTTGGATCGCTTCTCGTGGGACGCATAAAATTGTCGAGAACCGAACACCTCAAGCGAAGCCCGCATGAAGTCAGTGAGCAGCCCTGTCTGCATGCTCCAAAAGCAACTATGGGCGGTGGAATTGGTCGCCAGATATAGGACACGGATGCGAAAACAGAACTTGGCTATCTCACTGATGCTGTGGCAGAAGTCATTGTTCCCCGTGCAACCACGAATAGCCGTTGTCGGGATTCATTCTTTAATTTGGAACCGACTAAATATCGACCGGTCACAACGACCAGAAAAGGGTATGCTTGTCTCAACTTTGGTTTGTACAAACTTCTTCCGATCGGTGTTGCCTCAGTGTCCATCACTGGCACTGATTTCTCCAACCACCAAAAACTATATGCAGATGCTTGCTGATGAAGGCATGCACAAAAACACATAGCTACACATTAACGAAAACAAATCAGCGCAGTTGGTGTCCGAATGGAGATTGCAGACAGCCGGACACCAAAACAACGCCAGGCTGATACTAAATACCGCGCATTTTCCACCTATCTGTGGTCTTAAGCAGAGCAAGCAACTTCGATATCAACGAAGATAACGGGTACAACGGAACGCTTGCTACAGAAGATACTATGCAAGCAGCCTCTATCAGACTTTTCGAACTATTTTAATTTTCACAGCTGGTTTTTCTGCTCCGTAGCACAATGAGGTTTTCAGCGCTTTAGGAAATACATCCTGTGTAGCTTAGATATCGTTTGCGCTTGCATCAACAATCGTCTCATCAAGAGTCACCCACCACACTTGGATCTCATGTCGTTAGACTAGAAGCGTGTGACAGTGATTATCACTCATAAATGTCAGATGGGAATATAGCCTCTTGATTCCTTTGGGCTTGCTGCTGATAAGTAAGGTATGCGCTCGAAAAAGTGATGCCTATCTAGACTATGTGGGACAAACTACTATAAAGCAGCTTTACACCATTAATAGCTCCGTGAGTTGTCACCAAAGGTTTGTTCTTAACTGTGCCTCACTCATGAGATCTCCTCCAAAGAGATCCAAAGAGTGTGAATCTGAACACTGTATGAAGCGACGCAACGAAGTAAAGACACATGACTTCTTTGTCAAAGTCTTTAAGAATGGTGAAGTAGATGGTCTAAGGTAATCTATGGAGATGCCCGATAAACCTCAACTCCTTTGGACCGTACCAGCAAGATCTTAGAAGTGATATTCATGCATCAACGATCTGCTAACCTTCGTATGTAGTTGGACCAACATTAGTGACCGTCGGAGACGATGGGATATACTCGATTTTTCTGAGGCTTTCGATCTCATTCACTACGAGTGGTTCGACAGCTAGTTCACATAAACTGGGGTTCATTCACTGTTAATCTGCAAGCCGCCATCGCATTCAAGCAACAGCCTTACTAAGGCTCATACAGATTCACCTATGTACGGGAAACGAGATGCTTTGGTGAGGTCCTGGGGAACTACGCTGTAAGGCGTTCCCGTACCCTATTTAGGCAGATGATTTGCCCTTGCAGGGGTCTGCTGAAATCGTTTTGTCTGCTGATAACATGAAGCTATGGAGACGAATCTGAGGCAAAAGCGATGGGGTCCCCTTGCAAGATGATGTGACCAGGCTTCAAAAATAGGTAACTCTCAATGAACTTATCTTCGGCTCTGCAAAACGCCAAGCCGCAAGCGTAAATGTGCTGCATGTCACATTCAAACCAAACAACACAGAACTGAGGCATCTATGGCAAAAGGATCCTGGGGTCTCATTTACCAATGTTTTCAAGTGCCAAGTTAAGCGAGACTAAAATGTATTTCGTGGGAATCCAGCGCTCAAGACACTGTGACGAGTCTTTTGCCAGCCCACCCAAGGGTGTTCACAAAGTATCTTCGAAAGTTTCATGGGAACTCATTTAGAAGTTGTGACGATGGCCCTTCCTTCTTCAATCCACAGAGATAACAACCACTAAAAGCGCACGCAGAGGTGCTTCATC